TGAGTGCTGTACTTTGAGTGTTGAGTGATGCGTGCTGTGTTGTCTGCTGCACTTTGAATGTACGAGCTGTCAGCCGGTGTCTCCTATGCGGCGCACTACTTTGAATCTTGCGTGACGCGTGCTATGCTGCCTGCTATGCTTAAAGAGTCGTGTGTGCTGCTGTGTGAAACGATGCTTGCTATGCTTTGAGACTCGTGTGTGCTGCTACCTCCTGTGTTGTGTGCTATACTTTGTTGCGTGCTGTGCTTTGGGTCGCGTGTGCTTGCTGTTGCTGCTATGTTGCGTGTACTTTTGCGGGTTGTGTGATGATTGAGTGAAGTGCTGCTGTGTTCTGTGTGCCATGCCGGGTGCTGTCTGCAGAGTGACTGTGGTGAGCGGTGCTGACTCCGGCTGTCATGAGTGCTGTTGTGTGGTGCTGTGAGCTAGTGTACTATTACTCACATCGTTCTGATGGTCTCTATGCTATGCATTGCGACTATGTCTGCTATGCTTTGAATCTTGCGTGCTGTTTTGCATCCTGAGTTTGGTTGTGTGTGTGTGCTGTGTCATAGGCTGTGTATCTCTCTACACATGGTGTGCTGTTCTGTGTATGCGCTATGAGCTTTGCGTAATGTGCTGTTGTGTGCTGTGTTTATCAGTCCAGTGTGTGCTGCCTTGTGCTGTGAGTTGTGTGGAGCATGCTATGCTTTGAGTCTCGCGTGCTGTGCGTGGGGCTGTACTTTGCCTCGTGGTGTCTGCTGTTGTGAGTCTTGCTATGTGTGTTGCTATGTCTTCGTGTGTACTGTGCATGCTATGAATTGTAGGCTATGAGTGCTGTCTTGTCTTCTGCGTGTGCTTTTTATCGTGTGCTGTGTGTGCACGCTATGGCCTTTGTGCTGTGTAAACTATGCGCATACTGTGTGTTGTGGTGTGTGCTGTGTGGTGGTGTGTGCTGTGTCTTGCTGGAGGCTATGATTGTGTGTGTTGCTGCTGCCCTGTGTGCTGTTGCTACTGTGTGCTATGTTATTGTTGATGTCGTGTGTATTGGCTACGTCTATATCGCACATCGTGCTATACCATGTGTGCTATGTCTTGTGCACGAGATCATGTGTGCTATGTCCTGCATGCTATAATATACTGTGCCATGTGTGTGTGCTGTACTACGTATTGTGCGGGCTGGTGTGGAGTGTGTGGTGCTGTGTGTGGTGCTGTGTGTGGTGCTGTGGTGTGGTGAGTGTGGTGAGTATGGTGAGTGTGGTGAGTGCGGTGTGGTGAGTGTGGTGAGTGTGGTGTGGTGAGTGTGGTGAGTGTGGTGAGTGCGGTGTGGTGAGTGTGGTGAGTGTGGTGTGGTGAGTGCGGTGAGTGTGGTGAGTTTGGTGAGTGTGGTGTGGTGAGTGTGGTGAGTGTGGTGTGGTGAGTTTGGTGAGTGTGGTGTGGTGAGTGTGGTGTGGTGAGTGTGGTGAGTGCGGTGTGGTGAGTGTGGTGAGTGAGGTTAGTTTGGTGAGTGTGGTGTGGTGAGTGTGGTGTGGTGAGTGCGGTGTCGTGAGTGCGGTGTGGTGAGTGTGGTGAGTGAGTGTGGTGTGGTGAGTGCGGTGTGGTGAGTGTGGTGTGGTGAGTGTGGTGAGTGAGGTGAGTGATGTTAGTTTGGTGAGTGTGGTGAGTGTGGTGTGGTGAGTGTGGTGTGGTGAGTGTGGTGAGTGTGGTGTGGTGAGTATGGTGTGGTGAGTGTGGTGAGTGTGGTGTGGTGAGTGTGGTGAATGTGGTGTGGTGAGTGTGGTGAGTGTGGTGAGTGTGGTGTGGTGAGTATGGTGTGGTGAGTGTGGTGTGGTGAGTGTGGTGTGGTGAGTGTGGTGAGTGTGGTGAGTGTGGTGAGTGTAGTGAGTGTGGTGTGGTGAGTGTGGTGAGTGAGGTGAGTGCGGTGTGGTGAGTGCGGTGAGGTGAATGTGGTGAGTGTGGTGAGGTGAGTGTGGTGAGTGAGGTGTGGTGAGTGTGGTGAGGTGAGTGTGGTGAGTGAGGTGTGGTGAGTGTGGTGAGGTGAGTGTGGTGAGTGAGGTTAGTTTAGTGAGTGTGGTGAGTGCGGTGTGGTGAGTGTGGTGAGTGTGGTGTGGTGAGTGTGGTGAGTGTAGTGTGGTGAGTGAGGTTAGTTTGGTGAGTGTGGTGTGGTGAGTGTGGTGAGTGCGTGGTGGTGAGTGTGGTGAGTGTGGTGTGGTGAGTGTGGTGAGTGCGGTGAGTGTGGTGTGGTGAGTGCGGTGTGGTGAGTGTGGTGTGGTGAGTGCGGTGAGTGCGGTGTGGTGAGTGTGGTGTGGTGAGTGAGGTGAGTGAGGTGAGTGTGGTGTGGTGAGTGTGGTGAGGTGAGTGAGGTGTGGTGAGTGTGGTGAGGTGAGTGTGGTGAGTGTGGTGTGGTGAGTGTGGTGAGGTGAGTGTGGTGAGTGTGGTGAGGTGAGTGTGGTGAGGTGAGTGTGGTGAGTGAGGTATGGTGAGTGTGGTGAGGTGAGTGTGGTGAGTGAGGTTAGTTTGGTGAGTGTGGTGTGGTGAGTGTGGTGAGTGCGGTGTGGTGAGTGTGGTGAGGTGAGTGTGGTGAGGTGAGTGTGGTGAGTGAGGTGTGGTGAGTGTGGTGAGTGAGGTGTGGTGAGTGTGGTGAGGTGAGTGTGGTGAGGTGAGGTGTGGTGAGTGTGGTGAGGTGAGTGTGGTGAGTGAGGTTAGTTTGGTGAGTGTGGTGTGGTGAGTGTGGTGAGTGCGGTGAGGTGAGTGTGGTGAGTGTGGTGCGGTGTGGTGAGTGTGGTGAGGTGAGTGCGGTGTGGTGAGTATGGTAAGTGTGGTGAGGTGAGTGCGGTGAGTGTGGTGAGTGTGGTGTGGTGAGTGTAGTGAGTGTGGTGAGTGTGGTGCGGTGTGGTGAGTGCGGGGTGGTGAGAGTGGTGAGTGTGGTGCGGTGTGGTGAGTGCGGTGTAGTGAGTGTGGTGAGTGTGGTGAGGTGAGTGAGGTTAGTTTGGTGAGTGTGGTGTGGTGAGTGCGGTGAGTGCGGTGTGGTGAGTATGGTGAGTGCGGTGAGTGTGGTGAGTGTGGTGTGGTGAGTGTGGTGTGGTGAGTGTGGTGAGTGTGGTGAGGTGAGTGCGGTGAGTGTGGTGAGTGTGGTGTGGTGAGTGTAGTGAGTGTGGTGAGTGTGGTGCGGTGTGGTGAGTGCGGTGTGGTGAGTATGGTGAGTGCGGTGAGTGTGGTGAGTGTGGTGCGATGTGGTGAGTGTGGTGTGGTGAGTGTAGTGAGGTGAGTGCGGTGAGTGTGGTGAGTGTGGTGTGGTGAGTGTGGTGCGGTGTGGTGCGGTGTGGTGAGTGCGGTGTGGTGAGTGTGGTGAGTGTGGTGCGGTGTGGTGAGTGCGGTGTGGTGAGTGTGGTGAGGTGAGTGAGGTTAGTTTGGTGAGTGTGGTGTGGTGAGTGCGGTGAGTGCGGTGTGGTGAGTATGGTGAGTGTGGTGAGTGTGGTGAGTATGGTGAGTGTGGTGATTGCGATGTGGTGAGTGTGGTGAGTGTGGTGTGGTGAGTGTGGTGAGTGTGGTGAGTGCGGTGTGGTGAGTGTGGTGAGTGAGGTTAGTGTGGTGAGTGTGGTGTGGTGAGTGTGGTGAGGCGAGGGCGGTGAGTGAGGTTAGTGTGGTGAGTGCGGTGTGGTGAGTGCGGTGTGGTGAGTGTGGTGAGTGTGGTGAGTGAGGTTAGTGTGGTGAGGTGAGTGGTGAGTGAGGTTAGTGTGGTGAGTGTGGTGAGTGTGGTGAGGTGAGTGTGGTGAGTGTGGTGAGTGAGGTTAGTGTGGTGAGTGTGGTGAGGTGAGTGTGGTGAGTGAGGTGAGTGTGGTGAGTGTGGTGAGGTGAGTGTGGTGAGTGTGGTGTGGTGAGTGTGGTGTGGTGAGTGTGGTGAGGTGAGTGTGGTGAGTGTGGTGAGTGTGGTGAGTGAGGTGAGTGTGGTGAGTGAGGTGAGTGTGGTGAGTGTGGTGTGGTCAGTGTGGTGAGTGAGGTTAGTGTGGTGAGTGTGGTGTGGTGAGTGTGGTGAGGTGAGTGTGGTGAGTGTGGTGTGGTGAGTGTGGTGAGGTGAGTGTGGTGTGGTGAGTGTGGTGAGTGTGGTGAGTGTGGTGTGGTGAGTGTGGTGAGGTGAGTGTGGTGAGGTGAGTGTGGTGAGGTGAGTGTGGTGAGTGTGGTGAGTGTGGTGAGTGTGGTGAGTGTGGTGTGGTGAGGTGAGTGTGGTGAGGTGAGTGTGGTGAGTGTGGTGAGTGTGGTGAGTGAGGTGAGTGTGGTGAGTGTGGTCAGTGTGGTGAGTGTGGTGTGGTGAGTGTGGTGAGGTGAGTGTGGTGAGGTGAGTGAGGTGAGTGTGGTGAGTGTGGTGTGGTGAGTGTGGTGAGGTGAGTGTAGTGAGGTGAGTGAGGTGAGTGTGGTGAGTGTGGTGTGGTGAGTGTGGTGAGGTGAGTGTAGTGAGGTGAGTGAGGTGAGTGTGGTGAGTGTGGTCAGTGTGGTGAGTGTGGTGTGGTGAGTGTGGTGAGGTGAGTGTGGTGAGGTGAGTGAGGTGAGTGTGGTGAGTGTGGTGTGGTGAGTGTGGTGAGGTGAGTGTAGTGCTTTGTGTGATGCCGTGAGTGGTGTCGTGTGTGTGTGTGATGCTGTCTGTGTGGTGCTGTGTAGTCACTGTGTGTGTGATGCTGTCTGTGTGGTGCTGTGTAGTCACTGTGTGTTGATGTGTGTGTGTGGCTGTGTAGTACTGTGTATGTGTGACTGTGTGTGTGATGTGTGTTGCTGTGTGTGTGTGTAGTACTGTGTGTGTGTTGCTGTGTGTGTGTGGCTGTGTGTGTGTTGCTGTGTTTGTGATGCTGTTTCCCGTGCCGTGCTATATCCGGTGCTGTCATGCCCCGTGCTGCGTGCTATGCCGGGTACAGTGGTTTACAGTGAAGTGTGAATGTGTGTGTGGCTGTGTGTAGGTGTGTGTGTGTAGCTGTGTGTCTGTGTGTGTGTGGCTGTGTGTGTGTGTGTAGCTGTGTGTAGCTGTGTGTGTGTAGATGAGTGTGTGTAGATGAGTGTGTGTGTAGTTGTGTGTGTGTGTGTGTAGCTGTGTGTAATGTGTGTGTGTGTAGCTGTGTGTGTGTAGCTGTGTGTGTGTGTAGCTGTGTGTGTGTGGATGAGTGTGTAGATTATTGTGTGGCTGTGTGTGTGTAGATGAGTGTGTAGATGTGTGTGTAGCTGTGTGTGTGTAGCTGTGTGTGTGTGGCTGTGTGTGTGTAGATGAGTGTGTGTAGATGAGTGTGTAGATTAGTGTGTGGCTGTGTGTGTGTAGCTGTGTGTGTGTAGATGAGTGTGTAGATTAGTGTGTGGCTGTGTGTGTGTAGCTGTGTGTGTGTGTAGATTAGTGTGTGGCTGTGTGTGTGGCTGTGTGTGTGTGTAGATTAGTGTGTGGCTGTGTGTGTGTAGCTGTGTGTGTGTGGCTGTGTGTGTGTAGATGAGTGTGTGTAGATTAGTGTGTGGCTGTGTGTGTGTGGCTGTGTGTGTGTATAGATGAGTGTGTAGATTAGTGTGTAGCTGTGTGTGTGTGTGGCTGTGTGTGTAGATGAGTGTATAGATTAGAGTGTGGCTGTGTGTGTGTGGCTGTGTGTGTGTAGCTGTGTGTGTGTGTGGCTGTTGGCGGCTCGTATTGTTTAGGCTGGGCCACGTGTGCCGACGGTGCTTTGTGTGTGTGAAGTGTGCAGGGAGGGGTGAGTGGTGTGGTGAGTGGTGTAATGTGTGCTGGTTGAGGGGAGTGCTTGGTGTGGTGAGGGTGTGGTAAGTGGTGTAATGTGCTATGTGGTGAGTGTGGTGAGTGGTGTAATGTGTGGTGAGGGTGTGGTGAGTGGTGTAATGTGTGGTGAGGGTGTGGTGAGTGGTGTAATGTGTGCTATGTAGTGAGTGTGTGGTGAGAGTGGTAAGTGGTGTAATGTGTGGTGAGGGTGTAGTGAGTGGTGAAGTGTGGTGAGTGGTGTGCAGTGTGGTGAGTGGTGTAATATGTGCTATGTAGTGAGTGTTGTGTGTGTGTGGTGAGAGTGGTAAGTGGTGTAATGTGCTATGTGGTGAGTGGTGTATTGTGTGGTGAGGGTGTGGTGAGTGTGGTGAGTGGTGTGGTGAGTGGTGTAATGTGTGCTATGCAGTGAGTGTTGTAAGTGTGTGGTGAGAGTGGTGAGTGGTGTAATGTGTGCAGTGTGGTGAGTATTTAAAGTCTGCCGTGTGGGGTGAGTGCTAATGAGTGTGTGGTGAGGATTATGATGGTTGTGCTATGTGTTACATTGAGTGTTTTGCGAGGTGAGTATTGTTTGGGTGAGTGTTGCATTGTGTGCAGTGTGGTGAGTTTTCTGTAATGTGTGTGGTAAGCGATGACAATCTTGGCACTCACCATACCATGCTCATGAAACACCACATACACAGCGCTCACCACTCACACATACCAGACACACACACACATTCACTATAATCATTCACATACCACACACTCAACACACACGCACAGACTTAACACACGCACCACACACTCACCACCCTCACCACTCACACATACCAGACACACACACATTCACTATAATCATTCACATACCACACACTCAACACACACGCACAGACTTAACACACACACCACACACTCACAACCCTCACCACTCACACATACCAGACACACACACACACATTCACTATAATCATTCACATACCACACACTCAACACACACGCACAGACTTAACACACACACCACACACTCACCACCCTCACCACTCACACATACTAGACACACACACATTCACTATAATCATTCACATACCACACACTCAACACACACGCACAGACTTAACACACACACCACACACTCACCACCCTCACCACTCACACATACCAGACACACACACATTCACTATAATCATTCACATACCACACACTCGACACACACACAGACTTAACACACACACCACATACTCACAACCCTCACCACTCACACATACCAGACACACACACATTCACTATAATCATTCACACACCACACACTCAACACACACACACAGACTTAACACACACACCACACACTCACCACCCTCACCACTCACACATACCAGACACACACACATTCACTATAATCATTCACATACCACACACTCGACACACACACAGACTTAACACACACACCACACACTCACCACCCTCAAGACTCACACATACCAGACACACACACACACATTCACTATAATCATTCACATACCATACACTCAACACACACACACAGACTTAACATACACACCACACACTCACCACCCTCACCATTCACACATACCAGACACTCACCACCCTCACCACTCACACATACCAGACACACACACACATTCACTATAATCATTCACACCCCACACACTCAACACACACACAGGCTTAACACACACACCACACACTCACCACCCTCACCACTCACACATACCAGACACTCACCACCCTCACCGCTCACACATACCAGACACACACACACATTCACTATAATCATTCACATACCACACACTCAACACACACACACGACAGATTAAACACACACACACACTACACAAAGCCAAAGATCCCCCGTATAGCCTCCACAGACTGTTGGGGCAAGCGCTGTTAGCGATCACCTATGAAGGCCGGCACAGCACACAAAGACACACACACCCCTCACACACCTCTCACATAGCACACCCTCTACACACACATTTAAACTGAACACACAAAACCAACTGATTAAACACATACATGCACAAGCCAAAGATAATAATCCCCCGTATAGCCTCAACAGACTGCTGGGGCAAGTGCTGTTAGCGAGTAGCATCTATGAAGGCTGGCACGTTACGGGAGGGGTTGAGTGGCCAGCACCACGCCCGGCCGCCTTTGTCTCCTCAGTCCTGATGCGTACACACCGCCCCAGGTACTAATTTGAGGCTGAGTCGACCTAGGGGAGGCACAGGGACTGGTTCAGATAATCGTCACCGGTGTTGATAGCCGTGAGCGAGAATCGAACTTGGGTCGCCGGGTTCGTAGCGTAGTGCACTAACCAGACACGCGTACACACAGACACACGTACACAGACATACGTACACACAGACACACGTCATCACAGACACACGTACACACAGACACGTGCACACAGACACGCGTACACACAGACACGCGTACACACAGACATACGTACACACAGACACACGTCATCACAGACACGTACACACAGACACGTACACACAGATACACAGACACACGTCATCACAGACACGTACACACAGACACGCGTACACAGACACACGTACACACAGACACACGTACACACACACTGCCTCGCTCATTACCGAACATCATTTATATTCTTTCTCTCACACACTCACTCGCTCTCCCTCACACACACACACAATCTGTCACACACACACTCCCTCACACACTCACACACAGTCTAACACACTCCCTTACACCATCTCTCTCACACACTCTCACACAATCTCTCACACACTCACTCGCTCTCCCTCACACTCTCAATCTGTCACACACACACACACTCCCTCACCCACAACACTCACGCGCATTCACACACACAGAGTCTAACACACTCCCTTACACCGTCTCTCTCTCACACACACGCACTCTCTCTCACACACACACACTCAATCTCTCACACTCCCTAACACTCCTAACATATTCTCTCTCTCGCACTGTCACACGTTTTCAATCTCTCACAATCTCTCATTCACACACTCGCCCTCTCTCTCACATGCACACACAATTACACTCTCGCACACTCGCTCGCACATATACTCAATCTGTCACACACTCCACCTCACACTCTCACACACACACAGACACACTCCCTCCCTCAACACACAGACTCCTATCACACGCTCCCTCACACACACTCAATCACTCACACACTCAGTCTCACAACACACCCTCTCTAGTACTCACGACACACACTCTCGTTCACACACACATACACAGTCACACACACACCCAGTCTCACACACACACCGTCTCTCACACACAGACACAGACTCTCTCTCACACACCCAGTCGCACTCACACACACACAGTCTCACCCACCCACAGGCTCTCACACACAGGCTCTCACACACACAGTCTCACACACAGAGTCTCACACACAGTCTCTCTCACACAAACAGTCTCTCTCACACACACAGTCACACACACAGTCTCACACACAGTCTCTCTCACACAAACAGTCTCTCTCACACACACAGTCTCACACACAGTCTCACACACAGTCTCACACACAGTCTCACACACACAGTCTCTCTCACACACACAGTCTCACACACAGTCTCACTCACAAGACAAAGATAAAGATAAAGATCCCCCGTATAGCCTGAACAGACTGTAGGGGCAAGTGCTGTTAGCGAGCACCTATGAAGGCCGGAACGGTACACGAGGGGGTGGGTGGCCAGCACCACGCCCGACCGCCTTTGTCTCCCTAGTGGCGATGTTTACACACCGCACCAGGTACTCATTTAAGGCTGAGTCGACCTAGGGGAGGCCCAGGACCGTTTCAGATAATCGTCACTGGTGTTTGCCGTGAGCGGGAATCGAACCCGGGTCGCCAGGTTCATAGCGCAGCGCGCTAACCACTACACTACCGCTCCCCACAAGTCTCACTCACACACACAGTATCACACTCACACAGTCACACACACACAGTCTCACACACACAGTCTCACACTCACACAGTCACACACACACAGTCTCTCTCACACACAGTCTCTCACACACACAGTCTCACACACACAGTCTCACACACACAGTCACATACACACAGTCTCACACACACAGTCTCACACACACACACAGTCTCACACAGCCTCACACACACAGACTCTCTCTCACACACCCTATCACGCGCACTCTCCCTCACACTCCCTCCCTCAACACACAGACTCCTATCACACGCTCCCTTACACACTGTCACACACACACTCACTCAATCACTCACACACTCAGTCTTACACACACCCAGTCTCTCTCTCACACACACACAGACTTTCTCACACGTACAGTCTCTCACCCACACACCGTCTCTCATACACAGTCTCTCACACACACACACAGTCTCACACTCACACAGTCACACACACACACAGTCTCACAGTCACACACACACAGTCACACACACAGTCTCACAGACACAGTCTCACACACACACAGTCTCACACACACACGGTCTCTCTCACACACAGTCTCACACACACACAGTCTCACACAGCCTCACACAGCCTCACACACACACAGACTCTCTCTCACACACCCTATCACGCGCACTCTCCCTCACACTCCCTCCCTCAACACACAGACTCCTATCACACGCTCCCTCACACACTGTCACACACACACTCACTCAATCACTCACACACTCAGCCTCACACACACCCAGTCTCTCTCTCACACACACACACAGACTTTCTCACACGTACAGTCTCTCACCCACACACCGTCTCTCACACACAGTCTCTCACACACACACAGTCTCACACACACACAGTCTCACACACACACAGTCTCACACACACACTCTCTCACACTCACAACACTCACAGTCTCCCAAACACTCGCACACAACCTCAGACGCAAACACGATGACACACTAACACACAAATACAAAGATGCCCCGGGTAAACATACACACCTTTGAGTCAAGTGTTGTTAGCGAGCAACTATTAAGACCGGCACGGCGCAGGGTGTGTGGCCAAAACCACGCCCGGCCGCCTTTGTCTCTCCAGTCCTGGTGTCTAAACACAGCGACAGATGGTCATTTAAGGTGACGCTGAACTAAGAGAGACGTTCTGGTTTGGATTTCACTGATGTTAGCCGTGAGCGGGACTCACTCACTCACTCTCCCACTCATTCTCTCACTCACTCACTCTCCCACTCACTCACTCACTATCTCACTCACTATCTTACTCACTCACTCTCCCACTCACTCACTCTCCCACTCACTCACTCACTCTCCCACTCACTATCTCACTCACTCTCCCACTCACTCACTCACTATCTCACTCACTATCTCACTCACTCACTCTCCCACTCACTCACTCTCCCACTCACTCACTCACTCTCCCACTCACTCACTCTCACTCACTATCTCACTCACTCACTCTCCCACTCACTCTCTCACTCACTCTCTCACTCACTATCTCACCCACTCACTCTCCCACTCACTCACTCTCCCACTCACTCACTCACCCACTCACTCACTCTCCCACTCACTCACTCTCCCACTCACTCACTCTCCCACTCACTCACTCTCCCACTCACTCCACTCACTCACTCTCCCACTCACTCACTATCCCATTCGCTCACTTTCCCACTCACTCTCCCACTCACTCTCCCACTCACTCTCCCACTCACTCACTCTCCCACTCACTCCACTCACTCACTCTCCCACTCACTCACTATCCCATTCGCTCACTTTCCCACTCACTCTCCCACTCACTCTCCCACTCACTCACTCACTCTCCCACTCACTCACTCTCCCACTCACTCACTCTCCCACTCACTCTCCCACTCACTCCACTCACTCACTCTCCCACTCACTCACTCTCCCACTCACTCACTCTCCCACTCACTCACTCTCCCACTCTCCCTGCCTCGACCCCTCTTGTTGGGGGGACAGCGGGGGGCGAGGGTACACGACCCCTAATAACCCCTAACGACCCCCCCCCCATCTCTCTCTCTCTCGCTCCTGTCCACCCCCTCCCTCCCCCCCTCGTTCCCCCTCCTCCCTCTCATCTCCTCCCTCGCCTCTCCCCTTTCGCCAACCTCTCTCATCTCCCCCTACCCCCCTCTCCTCCTCCTCCTCCGCTCTCTCCTACAAATTCTCGTTCTCCTATTCTCCCCTCTGTCTCGTCGCACTCATCTCCCCCTCCTCCTCCCCCTCTTCACTCTCAACCCCTCCTCTTCACTCTCATCACCCCCTCCTCTTCACTCTTATCTCCCCCATCGTCTTCACTCTCAACCCTCCTTTTCACCCTCATCTCTCTACTCCTCCTCTTCCTCCACGTTGTCTACTGCACTTTGCCTTCCCTCCACCGTTGTCTCTCCTGCTCCACCCTCACCGCACTCCTTTTCCACACACATCCCTCTTCCTCCTCCTCTTCACTCTCATCCCCCTCCTCCTCCACCACCTCCTCCTACTCCCACTACTCCCACTACTCCTCTCTCTCCTGCCGCTCTCTCACTTCACTCCTCATCCACTCTGCCCCGCACCTTCTCCACCCCTCCACCTTTGTCTCCCCCCACCCACCCCTCCCCCATCCACCGTCACCCCACCCCCTCCCCCGGGCCCCCTGAACAGGTTCTCCCGAGGGACCCCGTGACCCTGAGTGACCCCGAGGGACCCCGTCACCACGAGGGACCCCGTGACCCCGAGTGACCCCGAGTGACCCTGAGGGACCCCGTGACCCTGACCCGGCGCGACCCAGGGGGGGAGGGGGGGGGGCCATGGCGACGCGGGGCCTCGTAGGGGAGTCGCGTGGCACCAGGGAGGAGGAGATGGAGCGGGAGAGCGAAGGGGACAGCGCGGCGGTCGGAGCCGGAGCTGAGGAGGAGGAGGAGGACGACGAGGTGGAGGAAGTGGAGGAAGAGGAGGAGGATGAGGAGGAGGGTGACGAGGAGGAGGAGGAGGGGGAGGAGGAGGGGGGACTTCTTTTCCGCGACGCCGAGCCCAGCGTCGCGGGGGGCGCGACCCCTCGTGGCGCGTGCGCGGGGGGAGAGCAGGTAACCCCCCCCCCCTGCACCTCGCTCCTCACCACCACCACCACTCGCCCCCCAGCCCTTACCAAATACACACCGCATGTCACACCACGTGACCTCACCGCTCGCACCGCAGACTCGCACCGCAGACTCACAACACACCCTGACCACACTCACCACACACCCTCACCACCCAGCACAGACTCACCACACACCCTCACCACACGCCCTCACCACACACCCTCACCACACACAACACAGACTCACCACACACCCTCCACACACCCTCACCACACACAACACAGACTCACTACACACCCTCCACACACCCTCACCACACACAACACAGACTCACCACACACCCTCCACACACCCTCACCACACACCCTCACCACCCACAACACAGACTCACCACACACCCTCCACACACCCTCACCACACACAACACAGACTCACCACACACCCTCCACACACCCTCACCACACACCCTCACCACACACAACACAGACTCACCACACACCCTCCACACACCCTCACCACACACCCTCACCACACCCTCACCACACACCCTCACCACACACAACACAGACTCACCACACACCCTCCACATACCCTCACCACACACCCTCACCACACACAACACAGACTCACCACACACCCTCCACACACCCTCACCACACACCCTCACCACCCATAACACAGACTCACCACACACCCTCCACACACCTCCACACACCCTCACCACACACCCGCTCACCACACACAACACAGACTCACCACACACCCTCCCAACACACCCTCACCACACACCCTCACCACACCCTCCACACACCCTCACCACACACAACACAGACTCACCACACACCCTCACCACACACCCTCACCACACCCTCCACACACCCTCACCACACACAACACAGACTCACCACACACCCTCACCACACACCCTCACCACACCCTCCACACACCCTCACCACCCACAACACAGACTCACCACACACCCTCACCACACACCCTCACCACACCCTCCACACACCCTCACCACCCACAACACAGACTCACCACACACCCTCCACACACCCTCACCACACACAACACAGACTCACCACACGCCCTCAACACCCACAACACAGACTCACCACACACCCTCCACACACCCTCACCACCCACAACACAGACTCACCACACACCCTCCACACACCCTCACCACACACAACACAGACTCACCACACGCCCTCAACACCCAGCACAGACTCACCACACACCCTCACCACACACCCTCACACCACACTCACCACGCACCCTCACCTCTCAAAACCGCAGACTCTCCAAACACCCTCACCTCACCCCCTCACCTCACCCCACCCCCTCACCCCCTCACCCCACCCGGAGCCACCCCTCCGCGCTGCACGCGCGCCGCCTTTAGATCAGCGAGGAGGTGATGGAGGAGGCGACACTCAACCCGGCACCCCACCCCTCCCCTCCCCTCCCGCCCTCCCCCAGGTGGGCCCTCACTACCCCCGCATGGCGCCGTCTCCCCCGTGCGCCCTGGGCCCCGGGGGCGGGGGGGTCCACGGGAGTTCCCCGCGCCCCGCAGGGGGTCCCGCGAGCGAGGGGGTCGCATCCCTGGAGGAGGGGGAGGAGGGGGAGGAGGAGGGAGATGGAGAGGAGGGGGGGGCTCCCCCCCCGGGGACCCCCGGGTGCCGTGACGCGTGGAGCCTCACGGAGCCGGCCTGCCTGGGGCCCTGCGAGCCGGGCACCAGCGTCAGGCTGCACGGCCTCGTGTGGCACGAGAACCAAGCGGGTGAGGAGGGGGGGGGCACGGGGGGGAGGGGGCACGGGGGGGTGTTGGAGGAGTGAGGTAGTGGTGATGGAGGTGGTGGAGGTGGTGGTGGAGGTGTTGGGGGGGGGGGGTAACGAGGGGTGAGGGAGGGCTTAGTAGTGCGTGCGGGTCGCACTGACCGGCGTGGTGAAGTATGATCGCCGCGTAATCCAGCGCGGCGTGGATCGGCTTTTCGTCGTCATCCAGCAGTGGAGTGACCATGGCTGCTGCACGCGATGATGAGAGTTGTTTCGAGGACAGCGGTGGGGGGTCCGGGGGAGGGGATGGGGGCCGCCGAGATGTGGGGGGGGGGGCGCGAAGGGAGAGGAGCGGGGCCCTGATTGGAGCGCTAATTAACGACGCGCCGCTCTCGGGGTATAAATTCTAATTAAGGGTTAATCAGCCCGCGGCGTCGCGGGGGGCGGGGTGGGGGGCGACCCCTCCCCCTGGGGCCCCTGGATCGACCCGCGCCCTGCGAGCGATGGGGATGGTTGATGGTGTTGGTGGTGGTGGTGTTGACTGGTGGTTGTGGTGTTGACTGGTGGTTGTGGTGTTGACTGGTGATTGTGGTGTTGACTGGTGGTTGTGGTGTTGACTGGTGGTGGTGAGTGGTGTTGGCTGCTGGTGGTGGCTGGTGGTGATGGTGGTGTTGGTGGTGTTGGTGGTGGTGTTGATGGTGGTGGTGTTGACTGGTGGTGGTGGTGGGTGATGGTGAGTGGTGGTGGTGGTGAGTGGTGATGGTGATGGTGGTGTTGACTGGTGGTGGTGGTGGGTGGTGGTGATGGTGGTGAGTGGTGATGGTGGTGGTGGTGAGTGGTGATGGTGATGGTGGTGTTGACTGGTGGTGGTGGTGGGTGGTGGTGATGGTGGTGAGTGGTGATGGTGGTGGTGGTGAGTGGTGATGGTGATGGTGGTGTTAACTGGTGGTGGTGGTGGGTGGTGGTGAGTGGTGATGGTGGTGGTGACTGGTGGTGGTGGTGAGTGGTGATGGTGGTGTTGACTGGTGGTGGTGGTGGGTGGTGGTGATGGTGGTGTTGACTGGTGGTGGTGGTGGGTGGTGGTGATGGTGGTGTTGGTGAGTGGTGGTGGTGTTGACTGGTGGTGAGTGGTGGTGTTGACTGGTAATGATTATTGTGTTGCCGTGATGGCGATGACGACAGTGGGTGATGGGTGGTGCTCGCTTACAGCACTTGCTCCTGCAGTCTGTGAAGGCTATACGGGTGATATTTGTTGATGATGACATCATTGTGGTGGCGATGGTGTGTTTGTGATTATATTCGAGCATACACGTATGTCAGTGTGCATGTGTCAATGCGGTTCCACGTGTGTGTGTGTCAACGTCGTGCTGGCCACCCACCCCCTCGTGTACCGTGCCGGCCTTCGTAGGTGCTACTCGCTAACAGCACTTGCCCCAACAGTTCTGTTCAAGGCTACTTGGGGGATCTTTGTCTCTGTGGATGTGACTGTACTGTCTACTGTGTGTGTGGCGTTAGAAACTCGCCATCACATGCCCCACCAGTTTGAAGGCAGGGGGAGGGTTTTTTGTCTTTGAACATACGTACACAGTATATATACAGTACGTGTGTGCATATACACACGTGTCTGTGTGTGTCTGTGTGTACTGTGGGGAGAGGTGGCGTAGCGGTTAGCGCTGCTCTACGAACCTGGCGACCCGAGTTCGATTCCCGCTCACGGCCACCACCGGTGACGATTATCTGAACCGGTCCTGGGCCTCTCCTAGGTCGACTCAGCCTCAAATGAGTACCTGGTGCGGTGCGTAGAAATAGGGAGACAAAGGCGTCCGGGCGTGCGTGCTGGCCACCCACCCCCTCGTGTGCCGTTCTGGCCTTCAACAGCACTTGCCCTAACAGTCTGTTAAGGCTACGCGGGGGATCTTTGTCTTTGTACTGTATACGTGCGTGTGTGAGCACGTGTGTGTCAGGCGTGGTGGTGCTGGCCACCCACCCACCCCCACGTGTGCCACAGCGGTGCTGCTCGCTCACAGCACTTGCCCCAACAGTTTGTTGAAGGCTATACGGGGGATCTTTGTGTGTGGGGGGGGGAGCGGTGGCGCAGTGGTTGGCGCGCTGCGCTATCACTCGCCAACATCTGTGGCGAGTGATATCTGAACCGGTCCTAAGCCTGCCTTGGGTCGACTCAGCCATAAATTAACGCGTGATGTGGTCTGTGAACGTCAGCATTGGGGAGACAAAGGCGGTCGGGCGTGTCTGTGTATGCGTATGTAGCTAGTCTATACATGTACACGCGCGTGTGTGTGTTCTATACATGTACACGCGTGTGTGTGTGTGTTTTATACATGTACACGCGTGTGTAGCGTCTATGCATGTACACACGTGTGTGTGTAGTCTATGCATGTACACGCGCGTGTGTGTGTGTAGTCTATACATGTACACGCGCGTGTGTGTAGTCTATACATGTACACGCGTGTGTGTATTATGCGTGTGTGGTGTGTATACTATACATGTACACACACGTGTGTGTGTATTCTATACGTGTACACACGTGTGTGTGTATTCTATACATGTACACACACGTGTGTGTGTATTCTATACGTGTACACACGTGTGTGTGCACACGTGCACCGCGTGTGAACTGGTCTGTACGTGTCCACCCAGGTATGTTGGTGCTGCACGTGCGCTGGAGGAACAGCACCTACGTGGGCACGCTCCTCGACTGCTCCCGTCACGGACTCGCCGCTCCCCGGTGAGCTCACTCACCACTCACCACCACGCTCACCACCACGCTCACCACTCACCACCACTCAACCCCAACGCTCACCACTAACCACCACGCTCACCACCACGCTCACCACCACTCAACCCCAACGCTCACCACCACGCTCACCACTCACCACCACGCTCACCACTCACTACTCACCACCACGCCGCTCACCACCACGCTCACCACCACTCAACCCCAACGCTCATCACCACTCACCACCACTCACCACCACGCTCACCACTCACCACCACTCACCACCACGCTCACCACTCACCACCACGCTCAGCACTCACCGCTACACTCACCACATCGGGGAGATGATGGGGAAGATTATAGGATGACGATAAGGGTGTTGGTGATGGGATGATGATAGGGTAGTGATGGGATGATGTTGCTGAAGTGATGGGATGATGTTGGGGAGATGATGTTGGGGAGGTGATGGGGGAGGTGAAGGGGGAGGTGAGGGGGGAGGTGATGTGGAGCTCCACCTGGCACCGGGACTTCAAGCCCCAAAACAGATGGAGTTCACCCACAGCCCCTCCCCTCCCCCCGCCTCCCAGCCACTCCACCTGCTCCTGTTACCTCCTCCGCTCACCTCTCTTGCCTCCTCCCACCTCTTCAATCCACCTTTTGAACCCCACCTGCTTCTCTCACCAAGCACCTCCTCCAATCCATCCTCCCCCGCCTCCTCCCTCCCTCCCACCCACCTCCATCAATCACCCCCCACACGACTCCCTCCTCGTGCGCCACCTTGTGTCCCCTCCCCGTAGCTGCACCTCCCTCCATCTCGTTTCTCCATCTCGTCTCTCCACCTCCTCCTCTCTCCACCATCACCACCTCTCCTCTTTCCTCCTGTCCGCCACCTCCTTTCATCTCCACTCCTATCACCACCTCCTCCTCCTGCTGCTGCTGATCCTGCACTGCCCCCTGCTGGTGGCGTCCCCCTCTCCCGCGCTGGGGACCCCCAAATGAAAGGGACCCAACAGGGACCCAACAGGGCCCCAACAGGGACCCGCGATACGACCCCCTGACGCCCGCCCGCCCGCGTGCCCGCAGGTTCTGCGAGGTGCGGGCCCCGGCCACCGCCGAGCGCCGCTGCAGCCGCGGCCGGGCCAAGCGCTCCCGGGTGGCCCACGGCGCCCACGGGGCCCACGGGGCCGCGGGGCCGCGGGGGGAGAATCGGGCCCAGAGCGGGACGCGCTCCGTCCTCGCGCAGCACCGCGCGGGTGCCGCGGGGGCCTGGGACGGGGGCCCCGGGAGCGAGGGCCCCCGCATGGGGGCCCTGCGGAGACGGCCGCGTCCCGGGAGCGACCGCGAGGGCCGCATGGCCAAGAGGGCGCGGCTCGCGGCCTCCGCCGCGGCGGCGGCGGCGGCGCGGGGCCCCGAGGCGGCCGCGGCCTCGCGGCGCGCGGGGCCTTCCGCGGGGCCTTCCGCGGGGCCTTCCGCGGGGGCCACGGCGGGGCCCGCGGAGGGGCCCGGCTTGAGGAGACGCCCGACGGCCGCCGGCGCGGCCGCCGGAGGGGGAGGGGGGGCCCGGGTGACGCGGGGGAGCCCCGAGCACGCGGAGACGGCGCCGTCCCCGCGGGCCCCGCCGGCCGAGCGGGCCGAGCCGAGCGGCGGGACCCCCCCGGGGCCCCTTCGGCTGTGCCTCAAGCAGCCGAGGCTGGAGCTGCTGGTCGCGGCTCCGCACGTCAAACTCTTCCGCGGCGGAGGAGGAAGCCACGAGCGGGACGGGCCGGCCGCCAAGCGAGCGCTGATGAGCGACGGCATGGCCAGGGCGGGCGCCACGGGCCCCGCCGCGGGCCCCGGGGCCCCCGTGACGGCGGCGGTGGCGGCGCGGAGGCCCGTCGCGACCCCTGCGTCCCCCCGCTCGGCGTCCCGCGCCGGGGCCCACGCGGGCCCCGTCCCTCGCGTGCGAGCCGCGCTGCCCCGCGTCGTCATCCCCTTCCCCTGCAAGGACGGGGCTCCGCCACCCGGACCCCACGCGGGACCCAAGACCTCCCCCGCCAAGAGCCCCGCATCCCATCAGCAGCAGCAGCAGCAGAGGCCTCCGGCTCTGGACGGCCCCGCGCTCGTCAAGGCCGCGCTGCAGCACCTGAAGGCGCGAAGGCGCGAGAGGGAGCGCGGCGCGGCGGAAGCGAGGCAGGAGCAGGGCCCCGCGGCCTCGGGGCCCAAGGCGGAGACCGAGAATGGGCGCCCGGGGCAGGACAAGGAGGCCCCGTCGCTCGTGGACAGATCGTTGAGGCTGCGACCTCCCCCACGGGGGGCCGCCGCGGGGCCCGGCGAGAGGAACGGGGCCCCGGGGCGCGGGGCGCCGGCGCCGGCGGCGGTTGCGGCGGTGGCGGCGGCGGTGGCGGCGGTCTCCTCTGCCTCCTCCTCCAGCTCCGAGCTGTCGGACACGGATGAGGGCCCCTCCGAACCCCGCGGACCCCGGCCCCGTCTCGCCTCCCGCCAGCAGCAGCAGCAGCAGCAGCCGCTACGCGGACCGGGCCCCGGGGTCCCCGGGAGGGACGGGGAGACTACGGCCCGCTGGACGGGGACCCAGGGCCTCCATCCGACGTGCGGGACCAACGCCGCCCCCGCGGGTCGCGGCGTGGGCCCGCGACCCGCCGCCGCGTGCCCCTGCGGCCCCGGCACGGCTCCCGCTCCCGCCCACTGCTCCCACACGTCGGGGCCGGCGGGGACCCAGGCCTCGGCCTCGTCCCGGGGCCCCGCCCGCGAGTGGCCGGGGCCCCCTCGCAGAGACCCCCACCATGCCCGCGCCGCCCCCGGGCCACGCGGCCAAGCAGGGCCCGGCCGGCGGCCCGGGGCCCAAGTTGGTCTCGGGCCCCGCCGTGACTCACAAGCCCCCCCCGGGCATCCACGTGCCCCGCCAGGGACCGCCGGCCCACGGGGCCCCCGCCAAGCTCCCGCCGGGCCCCCACAAGGCCCCGCTCGCCCAGCACCAACGTCCCGCTCCGCTGAACGGCGGGGCCCTCTTCGGGGGCGGCTGCGCCGGCTACGGGGCCGCGGGGGCCGGTGGGGCCCAAGCGTCGGGAGGGTCGCCGGGGCCCCGGCAGGGCCCGCTGGCGGCCAGGGACTCGCAGAGGGACAAGCGGGCCCTGCTGTCGTCACTGTACCGGCGCGACGGGGGGACCCCTGTAGCGGCGGCGGCCGAGAAGACCGGGCCCCGCTCCGACCTGGGGAGGCCTCGCGCGGGGCCCCTGCCCTCGTTCAAGGCCCTGGGCCCCTACAACGCGGGGGCCAAGCCGAGCGGCAGGCGTGACCCCGGGGCCCCCACCCCCGACCCACCCAAGGCGAGCGGCGAGAAACCAGGGGCCCCCACGGAGGGCCCATTGGGGGTGCCCGGCCGGGCCGGGGAGGGGGAGGCAGAGGAGGTGAAACCCGGGGTGGAGGTGCGGAGACGGCACGTGGAGACCCACGGGCCCATCAAGCAGGTGAGGCCTTGCGTACTCGCCACCCTCCTCACCCGTTCCAATCGCACTCGCCATCACCTCGCCATCACCTCGCCATCACCTCGCCATCACCTCGCCATCACCTCGCCATCACCTCGCCATCACCTCGCCATCACCTCCCCAGCCTCGCAGTCGCTACCACACTCACCTCACACTCACCTCGCTCTCTAAGCCCATAAGTTGTGCCAACCGTGTGTTGTGTGCGTTATTCGCGCCACACCGGCACGACACAGATACAGCACAGACGAGGCTGCGACTCTGGAATGGTCTCTGCACGCTGATCAGCGTGTCGTGCGTCACGCATTGTCCCATGTTCGTGTCATGCATTGTGTGTCACATGGCGTGTATCATGCGTCACGCACTTGCATAATACGCGAGACACATAAGTGACAAGTGTCGCATTGTGTCGCGTGTCACATATCGCGTACGTCACGTGTTGCGTGTCGCGTGTGTGTGTCCCAGGGCGCGCTCTCCCGGCCGTGGGATCGCCTCCTCGCCCTGAAAAAACTTCCGGACCTCGACGCAAAACACCGTCCAAACCACAACCACCACAACCACCACAATCCGCACCACCAGCACCACCACAACAACCACCACCACCACCATCCACAGCAACCGCAGCAACAACCACCGCAGCAGCAACAGCCGCCTCCGCAGCTGTCGGTGAAGATCGGAGGCGGCGGCGGCGGCGGCGGTCGCGAACGGCGCCCCCAGCCCCGTGCCCGCGACGGCCTCTTCCCCCTGCACCGGCAGGCCGGAGGGTCGCTGGGGCCCGAACCCGGCTCCCGGGCGGGCCCCCCCGGCCACACCGCGGGGGGCGCGCCGCCCCCCGCCGAGCGGGCAGGACGCGCGGGGGGTCAGGCCGCGTGCGAGGCGGTGGCGCGGGCCGCCACGCTGACGCCCACGTGACGACTCGGGCCCCCGAGCCGTCACGTGGGCGGCGGCGGCGGCTTGTAGATACGCGGCACGACGGGGACCGACCCCGCGGAGGAGCCCCGGGATGGCCACCGCTCCGGGGTCGGAGGTCGCGGGGGTTGGGGGTGGTGGGAGCTGTTGGGGGGACCGCTTTCGACCCCGATTCGGAGACGCGAGTTGTTGAGCACTTGGGGCGCCCCACCGGGGAGACGACGCCGGGAGGCCACCTTGGACTCGTGGAGCCTTCGGGCGCGTCTCCCGCAACGACCCTGGCCACACCGCGCTGAGACTCGGAGCGGCTGGGCCACGTGGCCTCCGCGCGTTGCTGTCGACGAGGGAAAACACGAAGTAAAACACGAGGTCCACCCTGTCGCGGTGAGGGACTTGAGACTCGGCTCCAGGAGGCCGAGATTCTGGGCTCGAGACTCGGATCCAAGGATCGGGTGTCTTGTTGGGACCTGGTTCTACGGGACCATTATTCCGGATCAGACTGACGATCCTGTGGACTTGGGGGTGGGAATGGGGGGAGGGGGGTGGAGAGTTGGAGGGGGGTGGCCGGAGCAGGGCCACGTGTCAATTCAGCGTTGGCGTCATCGCTTTGGCGATGCCATTGGTTTGGCCGACTTCACCGCGAGATGTGAACCGGAGTTGTGTGCGGAGGGGGGGTGGGGGGGGTGTAGGAATCCGCCCGCGTGACCCGCGAACTCGCGCCGGGCCACGCGCACGAGTTCATCGAGGACGCTCCTAGACGCGTCGTCGTTGTCATGGCATCATCATCAGCATTGTGATCATCAATATCGTCATGGTCGCCGCCATCATCACCACCACCACGGTCATCGTCCTGGACAGAACCACGTCGATTCCCGGCTCCACCTCCCCGCACAGACGTCCCCACCGCCGGCCGAGCCCAGTGCCAAAGAGCGGAGGCTCCGTTCTCCGTGGGGGGGGGGGGGGGGGGGGGCAGCGGCGCTCATCAACTCATCACTCACGTCGTCGTCGTCGTCGTTAACCTCGTCGCTGTCGTTGATGCTGTCGTTTTGTTGTTGCTCGGCGGGAAGGACGGACGCGGCGGGGCCCCATGGGCCCCAAAATAAATGTGGAACCACGTGCCCCGGGGTCGCGCTGTGTGGGGTCACCGTCAGGTAGTGGTCGCTCCGATCACAATGGAGGTGGCAGGTCAAGGGATCCCAAGTGGGTCACCTCGGTGTATACAAAGGACAGAGGCCTTAAGTGTCCCGGTTGGAGATGGTGGGGGGGGTGAACAATGCAGGCGAGTGGTGAGCAACTCCAGGATGAGGGCACACAGCTGCACATGATAATTAATCACATGTCCACAACCCACCACCACACATACACAACAAAAACACATTACATACAACAAGACTGATTCCTCGTGTAGCCTTCAACAGACTTCCGGATCAAGTGATGTAAGCGAGCACTGAACAGTATCTACATAACACACACGGCAACAGACAACACACGCACAATTCACAAAGACACCTCCTATAGCCTGAACAGACTGTCGGGGCAAGTTCTGTTCAAGCACACCGATGAAGGCCGGGGGGAGGGGGGGAGAGCACCACGCCCATCCACTTGTCTCCCTGGTGGCGATGTTTACTACGCCGCACCAGGTACTCACGATCACAGACGACATGCACAACCCACTGGCACAACACACAGTACGCTGCGACGCCCTGCACGTGCAGACACCTTTATTACAACAACCTCAAATCACAATGTGCAAACGCGCAGCGCCACCGCCCATCGCTAGGCCCCCACCCCGCCCAACCGAGCTTCATTGGGGGGCAGAGGGGGGGAGGGGTTCACAGAGGCGGGGGGCGGGGGGGGGAGGTCCCTTGGCAAGAAATCGCGACACCGCCACCACGCGCCCCACGATCGAGGAGTGACGTGCGGCGGAACACCGGAGGAGAGCGAGAGGCACGCCAATTTACAGACTCGCTCCCCCTCTTCTTCAGGACGCGCGCCGCGGTCAGCGCAGTGGTTCCTGACAGCGAACAGATCCAACACCAGCCGGCCTGGCACTCCACCACCACCAACCAGTTTGGCACACCACCACCAGCCAGCTGGGCATTCCACCACCTCCGATTAGCGTGGCTGGCTATGTAGGGTGAGAAAGAAGCTCAACGTGCATACACCGACGGCGTGGTGGTGCATGGGGAGTTAAGCTAACTGGGTCAGGGTTCACCTTCCCTGGGCAACCTCTGACCCCACGAGCTGAAGTGGACGCTCGGATCCCCAGTCACAGTTGCAGTCCTGATGCACGCAGAGAGTCCTGGCGAGTTCCACTCAATTCGAGCGAGTCCCCACCTAGTCCCTGTTAGTCCCTGTTAGTCCATATGGTCCCAGTGACACGGGCTCAAGTCCCTTACACTCCTACCCGAGGAGGGACAGAAGATGGGGTTGAGGAGGGGGGGGCGGGATTGTGGACACGGGAAAGGAGTTGGGGGGGGGGTCATTGAGAATCGTCACCGCTGCCTCCGCCGGTCTCCGTGGGGACGTTGACGGAGCCGTTCTCCAGCATGGGGGGCGTGCAGCCTGCAAGGGGGGAAACCACAGAAAGCACAGACCCAATCAGAGGAGACACGTGTGTGTGTGTACACAAGACTCAATGAGTCCATGGTGCAGGGAGGCAAAGGCGGTCTGGCGTGGTGCTGGCCACCCACCCTCTTCGGGTACCGTGCCAGCCTTCATAGGTGCTCGCTAACAGCACTTGCTCCTACAGTCTGTTCAAGATACATGGGTGATGTTTGTGTACGCACTGTAACAGGCTGTGTAGAAGCTACCTGGTCTATCGCTCTGGGTGTGTCCTCCCTTCTCTATGCTTGAGAAACGTGAAGCCCTCTCAAGGAAGATCTGCGCCGGTTTGAAACATCCAGGCTGGCCCTGCCTACACGCTGCTGGGTTTGAGCAGACCAGATTGTGCGAGGAGCTCACAGATCCTTGAGAGATCTGGACACAGTCTCATCAAGTGAGCTCTTCTGGCAGGCGAGGCTGCGTTGGCCGAATCACGTAGCCCGCATGCCCAGCCGTCGCATGCCAAAGCAGCTTCTGTTTGGCCAGATAGAGTAGGCTAAATGGGCATAGCATGGGCTAGAAAAGAGTGGGAATGATGTAGTATGGGAGAATGTGGAGCCGAGTCGTCCTACCAATCACTGGTACCAGCGGTGACAAGTTCGGCCTCTGTGGAGGAGGCTCGTGAAGGACGCTACTGGGCAGTTGGAGGCAGTCGCCGGGCAGCAAAAACACAGTGAGTTGGCACAGTAGGGTGGCCACAGCTGATTCATCTGCCAGTCATCTCAGTCAGCCCCGTGGCACCTCGGTCTGTCCCGTGGCCTTATGCCAGCAGCGAGTCTTTAACACACCACGTGGCCTAAGTGCACCTAACCTGGCGCAAGAACCGCGGTGACATCACCGCCACTTAGTGGGGAAGGGAGCTCGTTGTTGTTGTGCATACACGTGTGTGTGTACATACACGTGTGTGTGTACATTTGTGTGAGTACATGTGGCATCTGCTCACACCCATGTGACCGCAAAGGGAAGCGAAACCCAATAGCATCTGGGCTTCCTCACAAACATAAAAAAAACTAATTTTTTCCATTTGGCGTCTTCCGTAGAGCAGACAGTGGGGTGGGGGGGGGAACTCAACCTACGCTCCACCCCACCCACCACTGCACAGCCCAGGGGGGGACAGAGTGGTTAGCGAGTGTGTACACACACCCGTGCGTCCCCCGTGTGTCCCTGCGCATCCTTGTCCTCTCCGCGTGTCACCACACACACAGAGACGTCCCTGTAAGAGTTCTACGCATCCCCCCGCCACCCGGCGCGGCGTCCCCCACCTTTGCGCACGCGGATGGGAATGGCGACGATGAGGGCGAGGCTGATGAGCGCCAGCACGGCGACGCCGCCCGGCACCGCCACCATGATGGTGCGGTAGAACGGCTTGCACTGGTCGCAGCACGGCACGTCTCTACAAGCGCACACACACACACGTGTACACACACGTGTACACACACACACGTGTACACACACACACGTACACGCACGCACAAAGATCCCCCCCTGGATGGCCTTAACAGACTGTCGGGGCAAGTGCCGTTAGCAAGCACCTATGAAGGCCGGCACGGCACACGAGGGGGTGGCAGCACCATGGGTAATGAGGTGACAAGGATGGTGGAGTGTGTGGCGAGTGTGGTGAGCATGTGTGGTGGGTGTGCCGAGAGCGGTGAGCGTACGACATGAGTGGGGAGCATGGCGAGTGGTGAGCTTAGGGCCGTACTTGCAAGGATGCAGGTTCTGTATGAGCAGCACTCCGAGGCCGTTTGACACCTTGTCTGTGAAGCTCATGGCTCCGTACACAAATGCGCCGCTTTCCTGTGCCACACACACAGCGCACGCCGCATTAACCTCCACATGCACACAAACCCCTATACACACACTACACACTGCACACACTATACATCCACAGCGCACGCATTATCCTCCACACACTACACACACAGCACACACAGCACACACACTACACACCGCAAACACTATACACTCGGTTTAACACGTAGGCTTAACACTACACACACAGCATAAACATTACACTACACACGTACACACCCCCCTATGCACACACAGCACGCACAATCCACAATACACACATAGCACACCCTACACATTGCACACATTATACACTACACACACACTATACACTAAATACCACACATGCTTACGCACACGACATACACCGCCCTAATCACATCATGGAGAGCAACGTGACGAGGACGGCGGGGGCGAGGAGGTGAGCGATAAGTCACCGCCCCAATTCAGGCCGGCGAGCTTGGTGGGCAGAGACGAGGCGATGAGGCTGGTGGAGTGTGGAGCGACGTGGTGGAGCGGCGTGGTGGAGCGACGAGGAGGGGTGAGCGAGCGAGGAGGGGTGAGCGAGGAAGAGTCACCGTGTTGGGCCCGATGAGGTCGGCCGTCATCGACAAGGAGGTGACGAGGATGGTGGAGCCCCCTACTCCGAGCAGCACGGCCGCCCCATAGACGGCATCGCCCCCCACGCCCAGCCACACCCAGTCGGCAAACACCAGCACCAGCACCAGGCCCAGGAAATAGGTCATCTGTGGGGGGGTCACCGGGTCAAGGGGTCACAAGACACGGTGGTAACCAGGTCACAGGGGTCACGCAGTTCTAAAGAAAATGACGTGTTGGTGACGTGATGCTGACGATGTTGCCGTACGTTTCTGCTCGCTATGTAGTTCGCATGATAGTGGTGACGTGATGGTGATGTGATGGTGGTGACGTGATGGTGATGTGATGGTGGTGACGTGATGGTGATGTGATGGTGGTGACGTGATGGTGATGTGATGGTGGTGACGTGATGGTGATGTGATGGTGGTGACGTGATGGTGATGTGATGGTGGTGACGTGATGGTGATGTGATGGTGGTGACGTGATGGTGATGTGATGGTGGTGACGTGATGGTGATGTGATGGTGGTGACGTGATGGTGATGTGATGGTGGTGACGTGATGGTGATGTGATGGTGGTGACGTGATGTGATGGTGGTGACGTGATGGTGATGTGATGGTGGTGTGTGATGGTGGTGACGTGATGGTGATGTGATGGTGGTGACGTGATGGTGATGTGATGGTGGTAATGTTGGCGTACATTTCTGCCGGCGATTCGATTGATGGGCTTCATGAGGAAGGAGGAGAGGAAGCCGCTCACGTACATCACCAGCGGGATCGTGGCGATGTAATTCTATTCACACAACGGGGGGGGGGGGGGGGGGGGAGGGGGGGGGGCACGGGGAGTCGGAACAATAATATATCTAGGCCACTTCATTACCGGCACCGATCTTCAACATTAACAATCACAATCGTCACCACCGCGCCACCGCCACACTCTCGCTGCTCAGCATCATTACCACCACCACCACTCTGTGTCTGTGCGGTTGGGGGGAGATGAGGGGAGGTGGGGGAAGTAGCGGATGTGCGGAAAGGGGGGGGGAGACTTATTTCAGTGAAGGGGAGGCAAGATGAGAAAGGTAGGATGTGGTGGGGGGAGGCCGGGGGAGATGGGGGAGATGGTGAGAGATTGGAGGTGGTGCTGGGAGGTTGGGGGTAGGTGGTGGGAGGTGTTAGGAGGATGATGGGGGTAGTTGGGGAAGGTGGTGGGAGTTAGGAGAGGTGGGGGGGGGGGGAGTTGGAGGGAGGTGGTGGAAGGTGTGGGAATTAGGGGGAGGTGTTACAGGGGGGAGGGGTGGGAATTAGGGGGAGGTGTGAGGGAGAGGTGTTAGGGGGAAGTTGAGGGCTTGGCAGGGGGTGGGGTAGGAGGAGGATGCGAGTCGATTGGGGGGGGGGGGGGGTTCTCACCTTGTCGAGCTCCAGGCTCTCGGTGAGGTACATGGGGATGTAGGCCTGCGACAGGTTCACGATGAGCCTCGTGCACATGTACAACAGCGCCAGCTGGAGTGGGGACACAGTGGGGACAGAGACACAGGGGAACACAGTGGACATGGGGCACAGACACAGGGAGACAAGGAACACATGGAGACAAGACAACACACAGGGACAGGAGTGAGAACTGGAGGTGTGCGATGACTCGGCTCTTTAGACGCCCGATCGCGACGCCTTCTCAAACTCCCCCCCTCCTCCCCCTCCTCCCCCTCCTTCAGTGCGACGGGGAACACAGGCAGCGTCAGGAGCCGGGGCTAGACACGATGTCCGACGTTTCGCTCCACATGCCAGGAGCTTCTTTAGGAACCGAATGGAAAGAGGCTCTAGGCACGTCCAGCGAAAACGTCGGTACCGTCGCGCCGGACTGCGTGCGGCACAGCCCGAGAGCACACGGGGGAGAGCGATGCAGCCCGTGCACCAGACTGTCCGCAGCGTTGCTGGACTCACGCCCTCACCCTTAGTGGGCAAATCGACAAAACCACTCGTACTGTGCGGACGCCGTGCTGGCCCGGCTCGGGTGAGAAACAGGGACATCACCGGACCGGTCCTCGAAGCCCTGGGACCCCGGGATAGCCGGGAACCTGGGACCACACCTGGTGGAAGGATGGCTCCTTCAGCCAATCGCTCCACTTCATGCGCATGGTGGAGCGCACGACGCCGCCCTGGATCAGCGGGGTCGCCTCGTCGGGCCGCTCACCCTCCCCATCGCCGCGGGGCGGCTGCTCCTTGGTCCCCAGGTGGAAGACGAGCGAGAAGACGGCGCCGATCGCCACGACGATGAGAACGAGGTTCTGGGGACGTGAGGAAATACACTAAACAAAGACCCAGAGGGCTCACGCAGAGAACCCGCAGCCTCACGAGGACACAACAGGAGCTGGGACCAAGCGCAAGCAGCGGAAGGCTGCCCCCCCCCCCCCCAAGCGACGCCCTGTGGCGAGCAGGGATCGGTAACGCCACGTTACCGAACCGGCAAAGCAGAGCGACACTTGTGCTGTGGACCGAGGTGAAGCGTTGGAGATCTGTAACGGTGGAGGTTGTGAACCGTGGTGCCGGACAGCGCCGAGTTGTTGCGGTGTCCGGCATAAGAGTGGTGGGCTGTTGCGAGGTGGCGTGAGTGGGGCGCCTTCTGGCGGATTGTGGAGGTGGTGCCATGGGGTTGCCTTGAGACAACAAAGCTGAGAGATTACGACCAAGGGCGGGGTGAAATCACGAGTGTGCAAACCCTGCAGTGTCATCCGATTTATTTTGGCTCATGGTGGGGACGAGCTGACATCCGGGAGGACGTCCAACACGGCATCGGTGCATAGCGGTGGCCAATGGAACATCGTTTCAAGGTGCGAGCGAATCAGGGAATGCGCTCAGGGGTAGGCGGCGTGGCGGTGGTTGCGCACGCCTGTAGGCCAGCACTGTCGAGGCGAGGGTCGGTGGATGGCACACATCTTGTGAAACTCCCTTCCCCGTCGGCGTGGAGGTGGCCATGTACCCTGGCTCTCCGGAAAGGAGTACACCAAGTGCACTTTAAGCCAAATTAAGAGCGAAACGTAATGGTACTCTAATTGTAACTGTTGAGCTGTAGTAGGAACCAATTGGCACGCTTCGTTTAGGCAACAAACCTCACTAGTTGGCTGTGTCGGGTGGTGGCGGGTTTAACGACACATTGATATTTACACGATCTAACCCCAAAAAACCTCTATTATGGATAAGATTGGTCACGAAAGCCCTACATGTGAAACTAATCGCCAACATCGTCATTAGGGAGACAAAGGCGGTCGGGCGTCATGCTGGCCACCCACCACCTCGTGTGCCGTGCCGACCTTCATAGGTGCTCGCGAAAAGCACTTGCCCCAACAGTATGTTCAGGCTATACGGGGGATCTTTGTCTTTGTCTTGTGTTTTTTCCGGGCGCTCCAATTTCCTCCCAATTGTGTAGACACTCATCAGTGACTGGCTGAAAACATCTAGGATTAAAAACCCAATGCTGGACCCTCCTAAAAAACACTCAGTGAGGCTTTCCTGGATAAAGAATCAATGCATTAATGATTAATTATTGTGAGCTCGGGAATGCGCTAGGGCATAAGCGTGCGTACGTGTGTGTGTGTGCCCGGTGGTAATTTCTCATGGGTTTTTGGATAAATTCCCGCTTTTCCCCGCTCGCTGCATAGAACTAACCTACCCAGTAGAAACCCGTAGGGTGGCTTGCCTACAATCTGAGCTAAATCCGGTCCACGGTGTCTGCGCCGTTACCCGCTCGGGCATTAAAGGCCTCCAATAAGTTCACCATCCCGAGGGCGCTACTTGAGCCAGCATCTAAGACAGGGGGCCATAGAAGGCATCCAACTCATCAGCCTCGCCTTTATCTCTCCACTCAGGGGGGTCATCTTCTCTGGGAGCAAAAGTCACCACCGTTCCTCACTGGATGCTGATGGGGAGGCGAGCCCCACAGCAGAGGCTGGGACTCGCAGCTTCCCTCAACCTCGCCGCCATGCTCCCCTCCTCGGCCCCGCCATTGCTTTGTTCAGAAGAAGAGCCACTCCCCGTTGCTTGTCAGTTTACTCCCCCGAGTGGCACACTCATCACCCCTTGTTTGTAACTGGAGCTCGAACCAGCCGGCCAGACCTCCGATATTCCAGAGGTCCAGGCGGTACCAGTATAGCTCCCGTACGGGGAATGACAGCAAGCACACACACACAGACACACACACAGACACACACACAGACACACACACACACAGACACACACAAACACACACACACACACAAACACACACACACACAGACACACACAGACACACACATACACACACAGACACACAAAGACAGACACACACACAGACACACACACATACACACTGGCCGCACCCTGAAGATGGCGCCGTCCTCGGGGCCAAGGTCGGCTCCCAGGTCCTCCTTGTTGGCCTGGAAGTGGAAGAGCAGCCACGCGATGCCAAACACCAGGATGTTGGCGCACACCGTGAACGCGTACCTGGAACACGGCACACCAGCACCACACTGTGAACGCGTACTTGGGACACGGCACACGGGCAGCACATGGTCACATCGGCGGCACGACACCCGGCACACCACGCAAGATACAGATCTCACTCCCCCCTTCCCCCCCCCCCCGGTTAGACTGAACAGGCTGTTGGGGCAAGTGCTGTTAGCGAGCACCTATGAAGGCCGGCACGGCACACGAGGTGGGTGGGTGGCCAGCACCACCCCCGGCCGCCTTTGTCTCTCCAGTGGTGATGTTTACACACCGCTCCAGGTACTCATTTTTGAGGCAGAATCGACCTAGGGGAGGCCCAGGACCGGTTATGATAATCGTCACCGGTGTTGGTGGCCGTCAGCGAGAATCGAACTTGGATCACACACACGTGGTCGAGCAACGGAGTCGCCATCGAACGGCACCACGGCTCAACCGCAGCGAACACAACGAGACATCCACAGCACTCGACACAACCGACACCCCATCGCTCGGAGCCCGGTCTCACCACGCTTGCGGCAGAGCCGTCGTGACGTCACACGTCACGGCGGCGCCCAGAATCCGACAGGTGGAAGGTCACGGGGGACGTGAGAGGTGTGGTGGGGGGCACGTGAGGAGCGTGAGAAGTGTGGGGGGGGGGGGCACGTGGGGCACGTGGGGCACGTGTGAGTACCGTGACAAGGCAGAACCTTGCGGAAGCGCTCAGGTCACGCGGCTGTAAACTTCACGCGGTGGCGCTTTACTGTGCTTTACGGAAATCATCGCAAAGTTCTCACACCTCGCACGCAGTCCCCCTCACCACACCTCCACTCAAGCCTCCACGTACACACTTCAATCGCTCGCCGTCACCGCTCGCACGTGCTCACCCTCCCACCTCATCTACCGCTCACCCCAACCCCCCGCTCGAGTCTACACTGACCCTCATCTCCAACCTCACTCCACCCCTCACATCTACCCTCACAACCCGGCCCTCACTCGTGCACCTACCCTCACGTGTAAATAACAGCACCCAAAGGTACGCTACTGCTCACAAACGGCAGGAAGGCGCAACCTCCATCCTCACGCGCTTGCGAGCGCGTCACGTGGTCACCCGCATTGCACGAACAACGCTCCCAGCCTTCTCACGCCTCCACTCGGCCCCCTACGACGTCGCCCCCTCACCTGTACGCGGTGAGCTCCACCTTCTCGCCATCGTTGGTGGCGAGCTCGGGGATGATGGAGAGGTGCGAGATCTGCGTGGCCGCCCAGCCGAACTGGAAGATGATGACGAGCGGCAGGAAGTAGAGCAGCTGGACGTACTCGGGCGTGAATTCCGAGCAGCCGAAGCAGCGCAGGAAGATGAAGGGGAAGGACACGAGCACGCTGACCGTGCCTGCACCCCACGCGCCACGCCGCCGTCACCGCCGCCACAACCACGACCGCCAACACCCGTCCAGCCACCCCGATCGCTGTCGCCGCCATTGCCCCAGACTGCTACCACCCCAACTACCTCCCCAACTGCTACAAGCCGTCCTGGTGGTCCCAGGATCACCCTCTTGTTGAGTGAGGTAGCTGCTGTTGCTGCTGCGGCTGTCGTCCCGGAAAATCAGTAACTCTTCTGGGGACATCAAAAGTCCCATGTTTTGTCGGTTTCATCAGAATAATGATGGTGGTGGTGGTATGCCACTTAAGACATTGATGCATGCACAAGTCGCTCTCCGCTCCTCCACTATTGGGAGATAGTGTTCTTCCTTTTCCCACGAAGAGGTGGCAAAAACCCCACCTGCCACCAGCACACCAACCACAACCATCGCTACCACCATTGCCATCTTCACCTTCGAGCCACGGGGGCAGAGCGAAACGCCTGGCAACGAGCGTGCGACGGGGAATAGTCGCAGCTGGAGGGGCGGTGACGTGTCCCAGCGGGAGCGCCGTTCATCGCTTGTTGAAGAAGTTCGTGGTTCGAATCCGGCAGGCAGCCCTGGTTAATACTGCCGGTGTATTAACCGTAAACATTACTACACACCGAAAAAATAAGAATAGGATTTACCCTTTCTGGCAACAAAACAGTTGTTAAGATGTTAAAACACCAAATAGGAACCTTTTGCAAGGGATTAAGTCTGCATTAACCACACGTACTTGTGGTGAACATGCAAACACAACATGCTCTGACAATATATGGCATTGTCTTTGACTTATTGGCCTACAGCAGAGACAGCCTCGTCTCACCGACGTCAGACCACAGAACGCCAAAAAAGTATTTTGCCGTTCTCTCCTCTGGCTCTGTTGTAGGCCAATCAGTTTCAAAGACAATGCATCGTGTTTAAAAAGGTGTCTATTTGGTGTTTGAACACCTTAACACCCTTCTTGGTTCTTTCGGTCAAATCACGTAGAAGGGAAATAATAAAAAATAAAACATAATAAAATTATTATTGCTAACCCTACCTCCTCCCTTTGTTGCTGCTAATCCTACATAATGCACGGGCATAATATGACTTTGAGACCCCCCCCACCTCCTACGCATTCCACAAGTAGTGACTAATCCCATATCTGCATTTTCCATAAATATGCTAAATTCCTCTGTTGATATCCAAATTCCTTTGTTAAGGCGCCCTTCCTCCCCTAACCCAGCTTAAATATACGCTGCCAAGCTTGGTGGTGTTCATTCAGACGCTGTCTTTCCGACAGACCTGTTCTTCACCTGAGGACGGCTGCTTGCGTTGTGGCCCAAACGTCGTGAGAATTGTATTTTGTTTTATTTTTTTTATTTTATTATTTCCCTTCTACGTGACTTTACCGAAAGAACCAAGAAGATGAATCCCTGCAGTCACGAAAGCTTTAAATCGAAATCTTAACACCCGTTTTATTGCCATAAAAGGTTAAACCCTATTCTTTTTAGTCATATTTTGATACTGGCAAAAAAAGGTCCCATGAAATTACTATGTGCCCCGTCTGCTTCGCAACGGACAATAAAGATCCCGCCATGAAATTCTAAGAGCAGTAGGTAATTGTATACCGGCGTCACGATCCAAATGTGAAGAATTACTTAAAAATTACTTGGCCCTTATGAGATACATTGCCACTACCGTAATAACTTGGCAGGGAAATAACATAGAAGCATTGTCCCGACTGTAAAAAAAACACTTGGCAGGACTCTCCAAGCATAAGAATATTACACCAGAGCCCAGGGCACCCATAAGGAGTAGCTATGGTTAGGGTAACACAATTCGCTTTGAGTGATTTGTGAACTTCCACAGAGCCTAACCTCCAGAGCTCCATGGGCAGTCCTATGAACCGTATTTTGTGGATAAACTCACCTCAAAGTGCGATGCTGCGAGATGACCCAGGGTTATAATTCGATTAAATAATGTATTTAGTCTAATTTGTACAATCTGAGTCATTTGTGTGGTCAAACTCGTTTGTATTGTGCAACGTCTTTGGTCAGTGCTGTTGCCTTGTTGCCTAAAGCGAATATTTGTGTAAATGTGTTTATTTTCAAGTCATAATTACTCAAACACGGAACATTCATTTCACACGGGCAGGCCAGAGTGGGGAGCGTGAGAGGTTGATTGAGATCTATGAATTGATCGACACATATCTAAAGAACCAGCTCACGCAACAATCCTCATGATTGACCAACAAAAACTCCTACAGAGACCCACTGACTTACATGGAGACCCATAACCCTACAGCTACCCAGATACTTATACAGAGATCTACATACTTTCATAGAGACCCATAACCCTACAGAGACCCACAGACTTACACAGAGACCTAGAATTACAGAGACACACAGAATTATACAAAGACCCCACACATTTACATGTAAACTCAAAAGCTCACATACAGCCCCACAGAATTACATAACGATCCAACGACAGACACAGACCGATATTTAAATAGACCAGTAGACCTACAAAGATTCCCCAGAGTTCTAAAAAAACAGACCCACCGACTAAAGAGAAACGCCACTGGCTCCCACCAGCCACCAAGACTCATAAACCGACTCAGATGACTGCCCAGATAAGCGCCCAACGAAGGTTAAACTCTCTTTGTCTTCAGGGGTATCTTGTCTCTTACCAGACGGGAAATACCGGCTTCCTGGAGTTAACATTTAACTCGATGACAGATCAGGGTCCCAATTACCCAATAACCCAAGGGCCCCATCACAGAGGGACTCATGTCCCTCCCCTCATTGGGGTCTCACGGGGGGTGGATTCTGTTCCATTGGGGTTCATGTCTCTCTCATGGCTGGGGTCTCACAGCTGGGGTCTCACAGGGGAGATTTATGTTTCCCTGGGGTCCCCAACATCCCTCTCTGGCTAGGGTCACACAAGTGAACCTTGTTCTACTGGGGGTCATTATTCCAATGGCACCTCCGATGAGCACGGTTGGCTACGTATGGTACGAAAGAAGTTCAACCGACGTTCCACTGTCATCCCTGTGCCTAAGCTAGCTTGGGTCCCACTCGTGCCCCCATCCCACCGATGCCCTCCATCCCATCCCCTGAGCGGGGTCTCAGTGAGTGCCTCTATCCCATCCCATCCATCTGAGCGGGTCTCAGTGAGTGCCTCTATCCCATCCCATCCATGTGAGCGGGTCTCAGTGAGTGCCTCTATCCCATCCCATCCCCTGTGTGGGTCTCAGCGAGTGCCTCTATCCCATCCCATCCCCTGAGCGGGTCTCAGTGAGTGCGTCTATCCCATCCCATCCCCTGAGCGGGTCTCAGTGAGTGCCTCTATCCCATCCCATCCCCTGAGCGGGTCTCAGTGAGTGCGTCTATCCCATCCCATCCATCTGAGCGGGTCTCAGTGAGTGCCTCTATCCCATCCCATCCCCTGAGCGGGTCTCAGTGAGTGCCTCTATCCCATCCCATCCCCTGAGCGGGTCTCAGTGAGTGCCTCTATCCCATCCCATCCCCTGAGCGGGTCTCAGTGAGTGCGTCTATCCCATCCCATCCATCTGAGCGGGTCTCAGTGAGTGCCTCTATCCCATCCCATCCCCTGAGCGGGTCTCAGTGAGTGCCTCTATCCCATCCCATCCCCTGAGCGGGTCTCAGTGAGTGCCTCTATCCCATCCCATCCATCTGAACTGTTCGGCTCCCCTCAACCACCAGGTCGTGCCACCCACCAAAGATTCCCCGTATAGCCTTAACAGACTGTAGGGGCAAGTGCTGTATAGCGAGCACATATGGAGCCCCGAACGGCACACGAGAGGGTGGGTGACCAGCACCACGCCCGGCCGCCTTTGTCTCCCCAATGTCGATGGTTTTTGCACTTCCCACCAGGGACTCAATTGAACCGGAGTGGACCTCGGGGACGAGGACAAGGACCGGCTTAGAGAATGTTCACTGGCGTTGGTGACCGGGAGCGCGAAATCGAACTCGGGTCGCCCGACACACCAACACAGCCCCCCACAGCGACACACTAACACAGCCCCCCCCCCCCCCACAGAAACACACCAACACAGCCCCCCACAGAGACACACCAACACAGCCCCCCACACCCCCCCACAAACACACACCAACACAGCCCCCCACAGAGACACACCAACACAGCCCCCACCCCCCACAGAGCCACACCAACACAGCCCCCCCCCCCCACAGAGACACACCAACACAGCCCCCCCCCCCCCCACAGAGACACACCAACGCAGCCCCCCCCCACCCCCCGGGCATCGCTTACCCACGAGGTGCCACGACTTTCGGCGTCCGTAGGCGCAGGCTGCGAGCGAGCGGTCCGACTCGTAGCCGATGAGCGGCGTGCAGAGGCCGTCAGCCGCCTGTCCCACGGCGAGCACCACGCCCGCGGCCGCGTTGCTGAAGCGCAGCACGTTGTGGAAGTAGACGAGCAGGTAGGTGAACCACATGGAGGCGCACAGGTCGTTCAGCACGTGCCCCACGGCGTAGCACAGCTTCGTGGAGGCGCTCAAGGGGGTGCGATCGGCCATGGTCGTTGGTGGTGGTGGTAGTAGTGGTGGTGGTTAGTAGTAGTGGTGGTGGTTAGTAGTGGTGGTGGTAGTAGTGGTGGCGGTGTTAGTCGTAGTGGTTGTTAGTAGTAGTGGTGGTGGTTAGTAGTGGTGGTGGTAGTAGTGGTTGTGGTAGTAGTGGTTGTTAGTAGTAGTGGTGGTGGTTGTGGTAGTAGTGGTTGGTAGTGGTGGTTGTTCGAGTGAGTGAGTAGTCGGCGCTTCCCCTGGATTCACAGCGCACCTAGCCTGGCACAAGCGCGGCGTGTGGCTATTGGCGGCTGCTGCTGCTGTTGTTGTAGCTGTTGTTGTTGCTGTTGGTATCGGTGGCGGTGATGTCCCCGTGGTCCCGCCGTGAGTACTGAATTCCTCTCCAGAGGAGACTCGTCCTCCGACTACTTGAGACCCCCTCCCCACAGCTGCGCGTCTCCTCACCACGCCTTCCCGAGCCGAGGCGCTTTTATCGCCCCGTGGTCGGGTGACGAGCGTGGTGTTGATGATGATGCTGATGATGCTGCTGCTGATGATGCTGCTGCTGTTGTTGTCGAGACGACGTCTTCGTGCCGTGTGACCGCCTCCGCTACTTCGCCAGGGGAGGAGGAGGGAGCGAGCGAGCGAGGGAGGCGGTGCAGAGTCCGCGTCCCGGTCAATGAATGACGGAAACCCGCGGCGCTCCGGAGTCGGGGGGACCCCTCGGACCCGGCGCGTGACCGCGGGACACGCGCCGCTCGTGACCGGCCCCGGGGGGGGGGGGTCCGGAAGGAACCGGGGTCCCCAAAGGGGTCCGGGGGTATGAGGGAGCCCAAGTTGGAGAGGTTCCCGGTCTGCGGTGCTGGAATCTTGACGTCTGCGGGTCCTTGTAGGGAGCTGGCCGGTCCCTAGCGAGGTCTACTCCTATCCGCACGAACCCTGACTGGGAAACCCCACAAACTAATCGGGGGGCTCGGTGACTCCCGGTGCCCCTCAAAGTCCCCGGCGGGCTGGGGTCACCCTCAGCGGGTAGGAGATCCAGGCGAGCCGTGGGGGAGCGCGGGTCTCAGAGAGAGACCAGGCCGCACCCCACACCGGCGTCGCGTGCTCGTGGGCGGGGACCTTATGACGTCACGTGTTTATGGGCGGGAGCAACGTGAGTGACGTCACGCGCCCAAATTGCCGATGCCCCGCTCTCCTGTGACGTCATCGCGTCACAGGGTAATTTAAATATAGAGGCAAAGGCGCAGGCGTCTTTAAGAAGAAGAGGTTGGTGGGCACACACCACACCGACTCAACTGCGGTGCACCCATCTGACACCTGCAGCTCGCACCATTGCTTCGGCTGCCGCGCCGAGCGATCGAACCATCTATACACGTCCAGTCGCAACCGTGGATGTCTGCGCTGCCCTCTGCCGCCCACCACGTAATCCCACTGTCAATAAGCAGCAGCAGCCTATAACACCTGTTATGCATGGCGGTTGTCCGTGCCAGCACCTTGACAGCCGCATCCCCTCCCTGCCACCGAATCAGCCGGAACGCGCCCGCCGCGTTCCCCGCAGATGTCGGAGGCTGAGCAGGTCTCGAGCCTGGAGAGCGATGAGTGAGCGGTGAGCGTGAGGACGGCCACACACACTCTGCTTGAAGCCAGAGTTCAGCTGCCGCGCCGGGAGATCGACGCGAAACCGGCGACTTCTGCAGCACTCCAAGTCCATCGTGATCCTAGCCATGGCACCGCGCTGTGTAACTCCCATACGCAGCGATGTTGACACACCACACCAGGTACTCACTTGAGGCCGAGTCGACCTAGAGGAGGCCCAGGATCGGTTCAGATAATCGTCACCGGTGTTGGCCGTGAGCGGGAATCGAACTCGGGTCGCCGGGTTTGTAGCGCAGGGCGCTAACCGCTACACCACCGCTCCCCACGCTAACCGCTACACCACTACACCACTACACTACCGCTCCCCACGCTAACCGCTACACCCACCCATGCACTACTACCACTCACCTGCCTACACACCAAGCCGCTCACCTATCTACACAATCACTCACCCGTCCACACCATCACTCACCACTTCACGCACGCCGCTCACCTGTCCACCCACACACCACCCTCACCTGGCCACACCTCTCACCTGTGCACACCTCTCACCTGTACACACCTCTCACCTGTGCACACCTCTCACCTGTACACACCTCTCACCTGTACACACACTTCACCTGTACACACCTCTCACCTGTACACACCTCTCACCTGTACACACCTCTCACCTGTACACACCTCTCACCTGTACACACCTCTCACCTGTGCACGCTCCTCACACGTGTCCCTACACATCGACTTGCCTGTCCACACACACCGTGTGAGTCGATGGGTCTCTCCCGTATCTGACCACACACACACCCACCACTCACGTGACCACACACGCACCCATCACTCACCTGACCACAAACACTCACCCCACCACTCACCTGCCGTATGAATGTCCGTATGTTGAACTTCTTTCGCACCGTACGTAGCCAACCGTGCTAGTCGCACCGTGCCTTCACCTTTCCACACACAACAGCACCCACCCCACCACTCACCTGCCCGCGACCCCGCTCACCTGTGGACACGCACTCACCCCCGGCGGGCTCACCTGTACGCGGTGAGCTCCACCTTCTCGCTCTGCGTGTGCGCGAGCTCGGGGATGAGCGCCAGGTGAGACACCTGCACGGCCGCCCACGCCACCTGGCTGAGCACGATGAAGGGGGCGTAGTAGCCCAGCAGCGTCCCCTCCTGGGGGGCCAGCCCGCACGCGAGGCACGACGCGAACGTGAAGGGGAACGTGAGCGTCAGCAGCACCGTGCCTGGCACCACGGCGGCGGTGGGGGGGGGGAGGGGGTCGAAGGGACGGACACGATGGGGGGGGGGGGGGGGGTAGAGGGAGGGGGTTACGGAGGCATGGGTTTGGTGGAGACACTGGGTGGTGAGAGGGGGGTATGGAGGCAATATGAGGGTACGGGCAGGGGGGGCAGTGGGGGCACGGGGACAGGGAGGGATGGATGGGGGCACGGCGGGGGTGGGGGAGGGGTGTGGCGTAGAGGACACGGGGTGGGGGGAGGGGGTGATAGGAGAGGGTCGCGGGTATAAGGGGGGGGGGGCACGGCGGGACAAGTGGGGGGACCCTGGGGGGGGCAGGGTGAGACGTGGGGGTGCACGGGGGAGAGAGGGGGACATGAGAAGGCGGATCCCGGAGGGTGACACGGGGACATGGGGCGGGCATGGGGGCGTCACAGGGATGGGACGCGGGGCGAGTGGGGGGGGGTTACGCAGGGACAAGGGGGTACGGGGGGAGTCAAGGGGATACGGAGGGGGGGTCGAGGGGGTCGGCGTTTTGGGGGGGTGGACACAGCTCCCCCTTGGGAGTGGCGCCTAGACGTGAGCTGACTCGTACAGACCGAGGGAATTAAATTCCTTACAAAGAGAGTCGTAGCCCGACGCAGAGAGTAACGCGTAGGCTCACAGTGATGGACATACTCTGGTATACATTGAGACCCACAGACTCACCCCCAGATCTATAGACTCACAGAGAGACCCATTCAAGAGCCGAATGGCTCACAGGGCTATACCACATAAATGAAACTGAAACATAGACTTATACATCGACCCATCGATTCACACTCGCCTTTTGCCCGTCCAAGGACGGGTGCATTGCAATAAATCTGAAACTTGCAAGCGAAAAGCAGAGCGCTACGTGATATTAATTGCATCCGTTCGTGTGCAATTTGTAAGGCCGTGGTGACACAGTTCCGATTTCATATCTTGACTAAAAACTTTCGTGACTGCAGGAATTCATATTCCTTGATTCTTTCGGTAAAGTCACGTAGATAGAAAATTATAATAAAAATAAAGTGAATAAAAATATTAAAAACACTAATGTACACTGTAGCCTGGTTCTTAATCGAAGTGAGTGTACTGGCAGTCTATAATGTAGACTGTAGCCTGGTTATTAAGTTTGGTGAGTGTACTGGCAGTCTATCATGTAGACTGTAGCAATGGTTATTACGCTGGGTGAGTGTACTGGCAGTCTATCATGTAGACTGTAGCCTAGTTATTAAGCTGGGTGAGTGTACTGGCAGTCTATAATGTAGACTGTAGCCTGGTTATTAAGTTTGGTGAGTGTACTGGCAGTCTATCATGTAGACTGTAGCAATGGTTATTACGCTGGGTGAGTGTACTGGCAGTCTATCATGTAGACTGTAGCCTAGTTATTAAGCTGGGTGAGTGTACTGACAGTCTATCATGTAGACTGTAGCCTGGTTATTAAGCTGGGTGAGTGTACTGACAGTCTATCATGTAGACTGTAGCCTGGTTCTTAACCTGATTGAGCGCACTGGCAGTCTATAATGTAGGTTCTTTCAGTAAAATTAGTTTTTCTTGTTTTTCTTATTTTTCTTCACTTTATTTTTTATTATTATTTTTCTATCTACGTGACTTTACCGAAAGAACCAAAGATTATAGACTTATTTCATTTAAAGGTTATAATCCCTTGTTCATCACGACGTCCTTTTTACTTCGATGTCTCAACAGCGTGACGGAGATCACGTGACGACGTGAGGGTTCCGCCTTTGTAGTGAGGCTTGTAAGTTGAGGGAGTGACGTCACCTGCTAATTAATATTAATGACGGGGTTGGTTTCCATGCGGAGTGACGTCACCCGCTCATGATTATTAATGGCGGGGGTCCATGTGGAGGACGTAACCTGCTCATAATTATTAATGATGGGAGCTGGTCGACATTGACTGACGTCACGCGCGGGACACACAGACATTCTTGGCTCATAGTAGTAAATGTAGACACAGAGGCTCACATCGACTTACTTAAACACACTTTCATAAAGAGGTCGATATACTCACATAGATACCCAAAGACGTACATAGAGATCCATAGATTCACATTCAGACTTATACATTGATTTACGTGCAATGAAGGTATATTGCCCGAAACGTCGTCTTCAACAGGGGTGCCAACCTCCCCCCAACCCCCAACGGGTGACCCCTCCCCCCGTTCCCCTCTCACCTCCAACTTTCATCTCCTCCCTCCATTCTCCATCAGCTCTAACCCCCCCTCCCCACCAACCAGTAAACAAGTGCCCCCCATGCCCCCCCCCCAATAAGTGTGTGCCCCCCCCCCCTTCTCCAACACCACGTGCGCCACCATGGGTGGAGATTGCAGGGTGGCACGGGGGGGGGGCAACGCCCCGTCCAAAACTTGGCACCTTTCTTAATTTATTTTAGTAGTTTACAATTAAGATTAAAAAAATTTACATGCACCCGCGATTCAGAATGTGAGCGGCAAAGCCAAGTCCTGCACCCCCCCCCCCCCCCCCCAATTTCGAGGTCAAACTGCGTGCCACGCTTCCCCCAGCTCCCCACCCATCGACACTGCCCCGTCTCCAGGTCCCTCTCCACCCCACAGGGGGGCGCCTCCCATCTACCCCCCACCCTCCACCCTCTCTTGCCCCCCCCCCCCCACGTAACAGGTGTACACCGCCCTGTCTGCTATCCACACAGGTGCTCACCTCTCCTCCGACAGGTGCGCCAACCTCCCCAGTCTCTACTCTTTGGTTCTATCGGTAAAGTGACGTAGTTAGAAATATATAATTTATTTCTACCTACGCGACTTTAGCCAAAGAACCAAAGAGTATAAATTCCTGCAGTCACGAAATCTTCAAGTCAAGACTCCCCAGTCTCATCCCACCCTCCCTCCATATTCCCACCTCCACCTGCTCCCCGATTCGCCCCCTCCCCCATTAACTCCACACCCCCCTCCACCTCCTCCCCCCTCCTCACCCAGGAGGTGCCAACTCTTGCGTCGAGCCATGCCGGGGATCGCAGGCGCGCGGTCCGCGGCGATGCCGACGAGCGGCGTGGCGAGGCCGTCGGCCACCTGTCCCAGCAGCACGAGGAGGCCCGCGCCGGGCGAGCCGATGCCGGCCACGCCGTGCAGGAACGCAAGGCCGTAGGTGAACCACGTGGCGGCGCACACGTCGTTGAAGAAGTGGCCGCCGGCGAAGGCCAGCCTGGAGGCCAGGGTCATGCGGCCCAGGGGTTCGGTTGCAGGGGCCGCCGTCGTGGGCGCTCGGAAGATGGGGGTCCCATCAGGACCCCCCATTGTACGGGCGTTGATAGAGCAGCCGAAGCGATGGAGATGGAGAGGGGTGGGTCGGAAGGGACCTGGAGCCCTGAGGCTGAACCACACCTGCGCGATTAGATGCGCGACCCGAGTCGCTCCGACGGCCGGGCAACTTCAGTCGCCTGCGACTGCGCACTCATCGATAGCGCGGCAAAGGCATCGCTCCCCACGATTGCCTCGCAGATGCCCGAGTGCCCCCTGCTCGCGAAATCACAGCGGCCGGCTTGCGCGCGAGACGTCCACACGCACGAGGCGATCGGCTCGCAAACAACCAACCCCCCCGCCGACTCCGCCGCTCTCACGCCGCCCGGTATCCCACTCACCCTGCGCAGAGGGGGGGCCCTGGATAGAGGGGCAACGGCGCAACAGGGGACCCAAGAGGGAGGCAGGGGGAGGGGGGGCTGCATAGAAGGGGCGGCGATTGGGGGGGGGGCACTGGGCAGATGGACGCGTCGATCAAATGCGAGTGGGCCATGGCGCGACTTCATTTATAGGAGCGCCCCCCCGCCTATCCCGCCCCTTAGACCCCCCCCCCTCTCAATCTCCTCCCACCCCCGGAGCGCTTAGGGGGTAAAAGTGACACGGGTCCCCAGAATGCGCCGAGTTTGTTTGTTTGTCGAACTCGGCGCGAGCCTCTAATGAATCGCGCATCCTCGGCTCCGTGTTAATTGAGAGACGGGGGGGGGGGGGTGGGAGGAGGGGTTGTGGCTGGGGGGGGACGTCCTCGGCCGAGAGGGTCAGAGGTCATTGACCCCCCTCCCTGCTGAGATCCCAGGGACCCAGGGCCACGCTCATTCGCCTCGCCATGGCCCGCACTGGGCCCTCTACGCACGAGGCCCGTACGGCCGCAGACCCTCGGGAGGGCCCGGGGAGAGATGGTCACCCGCACGGGGCCCCCACGTCCGGGCCCTGGCAACTCAAGACGAGATCTCAGAGGAACTGCAACATTCACCCCCCACCCCACCCCCACCCCCCACCCCTCTAGCTATTCACTCTTTGTTTTACTATTTATATTGTTTACCAGGCAAGGTCCACTGACCTTCGTAGCTCTTTTTAAGAAGCGACCCTGGCCACAAATGACAACTCTACGAAGTTTCTTATCACGTGGAAATGTATAGCAGCCAAATACTCTAAACGAGTGATGTTGGTTCTAGATGTGGAGGACAACACCGGATAACCCGGAGAAAAATCCACGCTACCACGGGGAGAGAGAGGCACACAAACTCGAAATATACAGCAGGTGTCAGGGTCGGGATCGAACCCACGACCTCCTGTAGACCAGGCGAGGGAGTTAACATCTCGGCGCTATGGGCCCCGGCAGAAACCACCATCATCACCACCAACACCCGAGGTGGATAAACCTTCGTGATACAGTACTATGCTTGCCAAGCACTCATAACTCTGCTGCACATTCAAAGGCCAAACATCACAATGTGGCAGGACCCTTCTAATAACGAGTTCTATCGGACGGAACACGGTGTGGCCCGGAAAACGTGGTGTGCTCAGCACGTGGTGTGGTCAGAATGTGGTGTGGCAATAACGTGGTGTGCTCAGCACGTGGTGTGGTCAGAATGTGGTGTGGCAATAACGTGGTGTGCTCAGCACGTGGTGTGGTCAGAATGTGGTGTGGCAATAACGTGGTGTGGTCAGAACGTGGTGTGGTCAGAACAGTATGGTCTCTATGGGTCTCTATGCGAGTCTGTGGGTGTCTACGAGAGTCGATGAGTCTGTAATGAGCCTGTGGGTCTATGTGAGTCAATGGGTCTCTGTGTGATTCTGTGGGTCTCTATGCGAGTATGTTGGTCTCAGGGCCAGTCTATGGGCCTGTATATGAGTCTATGGGTCTATGTGAACTCTGCCTACACACTGCACCAGGTACTCGTTTGAGGCTTAGTCGACCTAGGGGAGACCCAGGACCGGTTCAGATAATCGTCGCTGGTGTTGGCCGTAAGTGGAAATCGAACTCGGGTAACACCGGGTTCGTAGCTCAGCATAGCGCTAACCACTACACTACCGCTCCCCATCTCATATACAACCTCCCCAAAAGACTCAACAGTTACGTTTAAATTTCGACTTAAAGCTTTCGTGGCTGCAGGGATTCATATTCTTGGTTCTTTCGGTAAAGTCACGTAGAAGGGAAATAATTTAAATATTTTATTTTTCTTATTTTATTATTTTCATTCTACGTGACTTTACCGAAAGAACCAAGAATATAGTTACGCTTAAGTTACAATTGTTTTTGCCTGGTTATTGTGTAAGGGAGGTCCTTGATGTGGAACTCGACCGTTATAACGCGGAACGCGACTGTTATAACGCGGTTACTGAGCGGTCGATGACGAACTACTTTCTTGAGCTGGGCGGAATGACACAGTAACACGGCGCCGTACCTCAGTTATTTGTCCTGCCATATCACTGTACATCGTATCTCGCCCCCAACTTTATCGCTACATTACCTTTTGGGAAATTATTTTCGCTTCCCGCATTTTTCGTTGAACGGGAGTCACTTTTCACGAACGCATCTACCGCGTTCAACGATGACTTACTGTGTATATGGGTGCATCTGTGGGTCTACGTGAGTCCGTGGGTCTCTATGCGAGGTCTGTGGGTCTCTATGCGAGGTCTGTGCATCTACGTGAGTCCGTGGGTCTCTATGCGAGGTCTGTGCATCTACGTAAGTCCGTGGGTCTCTATGCGAGGTCTGTGGGTCTACGTGAGTCCGTGGGTCTCTATGCGAGGTCTGTGCGTCTACGTGAGTCCGTGGGTCTCTATGCGAGGTCTGTGGGTCTAAGTGAGTCCGTGGGTCTCTATGCGAGGTCTGTGGGTCTACGTGAGTCCGTGGGTCTCTATGCGAGGTCTGTGGGTCTAAGTGAGTCCGTGGGTCTCTATGCGAGGTCTGTGGGTCTACGTGAGTCTGTGGGTCTCTATGCGAGTGTAATAAAAGGACTCGAACACTTCTTTCTGTCTTCGTGTCTTTATTCAGGTTCACGTCTTTACCCACACGGCACTCTGTTATAACTCCTGTATTCGTAGCCCCCGGCTATTCACTGCTATTATAGCTTCCTCTCCCCTCTGACTCTCTGCTTCATCTACTGTAACCTCCTCCCTGCAGACTCGCTGCTACCCCTATGCAGACTCCCGCTGCTACCCCTATGTGCAGACCCTTTGGCTGTCACTGTATGCAGACCCGCTGCCCACTCTCTCTGTGCAGCCCCGCTGCTGACTGCAGCCTCCTCGCTGCTTCGGGTCGGTCACCGCTGGCCAACGGTGCCGATCCTCGCTCCCCCCGTGTTCGTGGCGATCTCGCCACACCCTGCTTCGCCCTTCGTGGCCTTCCTCTGTTCCTGGTTCCCCGTCACTTCCCTTGCTCTTCCGGTTCCCCTCCTTCTATACTCAACCCCTCTGACCCCCACGTGACCTAACTCCTCCCCCCCTGACGGCACCTCAGAAGGGCCGTTTACAACCGCATTACATCACCCTCCCCCCTAAAGAAAATCCAGCCGACCTCGGCTGAATTGCAACCTGAAAAGCAATGCGGGTGTAAAGGGCCAACACGCAAAAAGACACGAAGCATTGAAGACATTATAACAATAACACAACACAACACAATCTAACGAAACGTGAGGGATTTCGAGCGAGTACGGGTAGCCGGGCCGTCCCGGACGGTCGGCGGCCCACCCGCCGAGCGGGAACGTGGAAGGGTTTTAGGGGCGACGGGCGCAAGTTCTTCCGTCGCCATTGGAGGCCCGCCACTGTCCCGCTCGCGTCCAGAAACATCCCGTACTCGCGTCCGCGGAGGGATAGGAAGAGCTGCAGGTCCCGTGGGTTCTGCGGCTCCGGTCGGCGTCCCACAAGCGGAAGGTCCTCCTCCCTGCGGTGTCACGGCCGGCTTGTCTGTGCCGGAGGGTCTTTCTTTGGGGCGTCCGCAATCGAGGCCTCCTGCTGGGGTGGCCCCGGAACCCGGGCCCAGCAGTCCCTGGCATAGTGGCCCCGACGGCCGCAGCGGAAACAGTCGACGTCGGGTCGGCGCGCAGCAGGCCCCCCGTCCCGACGTGGCCGCGCCGGCGGCGGAGCCCGCGGCCCCGGCCCGCTTCGAGCCGGCCACGGAGTGGAGGCGGCCGACAGCTCCTTTGGGCCGGTCGCATCCGGCACGTACACGGCCTTTGTAGGGTCCCACCCTACGGCCCCCCCATCGACGACAGGACCGCCCGTCCACGCCGTGACTTGTTTCCAGCGGCGGAGATTGAACTGGGCGTCCAAACACTTGGCCACGGTCCGGGACATGAGTTTCTCGTGACCGCACGCCGGCATAGGAATGCCCAGATCCCGGGATAACTCCAACATCTTCCCCAAGATGAGAGGTTCCAGCAGGTCAGGCTCCGTGTCCGGGTAAGCGGCCATCGCGAGTTCCAGCACGGCGCCCCTGTACGCTACAGGCGACTCCTCCGGTGCGCGTTGCCGCTGCACGAAGCGGCGATGGGCGTCATCCGGTGGCTCGTACGCGTCCGCCATTTCGTCGAACACTCCACGCAATGTTTTCTTCTTCGCAGCTTTTATAGAGCGAAAAAAACGAACAGACTCATCGTCAAGGAGAGTCGGAAGCACCTCCAGCGCCTCGGCGTCCGTCCACCTTGCCGTTCGTACCGCCGCCAAAAATCGACAAGCGAACGCACTCCAATCGCCCCCGATGGAGAACTCCTTAACAGTTGTAAGGTGACGACTGCGGCTCCTTGGCCTGCTTCCGTCCGTCACCGACTCCTCCGGCGGCAAGTTCAGCAAGGCGTCGCAACGCGGTGTCGCCAAGATGGCGGACGATCCTCGTGGCGGCCCCAAAATGGCGGCTTCCCGCCTTCCGTGGTGCGCCACGCCCAAGATGGCGTCTTCACGCCGCGTGGCCGATGGCGGCGCCATCGAAGACGACCCGGGCTCCTGCCGATCACCACCATCACCTTCCAACGCCGCCCTTGGCGTGACAAGGTCACACAACTCCGTGATGACGGTTTTTAGGGTCGCCAGTTGCTCCGCCATCCGGGTCCATCTTAAATCTTCGTCCTTCAACGCAGATGGGTCAGACGCAGCGGCAACCTCCTCCACACCCGGGCCCTCACGGATCTCTCCCTCCGCCGAAGTGAAGCCGACCTCAGGAGGAAGATCGTCGTCGTCCGATGATGAAGCCGACGCCGGAGATGGGATATTCTTCTTCCTCAGTTGTTTCGCCATGCCGTTTCACTTCTGACTCCAGTGTAATAAAAGGACTCGAACACTTCTTTCTGTCTTCGTGTCTTTATTCAGGTTCACGTCTTTACCCACACGGCACTCTGTTATAACTCCTGTATTCGTAGCCCCCGGCTATTC